AGCCAAGATCTCGCCACTGCACTCCAGCCTGGATAACAGAGCAAGACTCCATCTCAAAAAAATAAAAAAAGAGGAAGTTTATTCAACTTTTTACCCATAAATGCAAATGTGGAAGGTAACCATGGCCTAGCCAGACCATCAGACCTACTAAAGAATATAAGAAGCCAGACACAGTGGCTCACTCCTGTAATCCCCGCACTTGGGGAGGCCGAGGTGGGCGGATCACCAGAGGTCAGGGGTTCCAGACCAGCCTGGCCAATATGGCGAAATCCCGTCTCTACTAAAAATAAAAAAAATTAGCCGGGCATGGTGGTTGGCACCTGTAATTCTAGCTACTCAGGAGGCTGAGGGAGGAGAATTGCTCAAACCCGGGAGGCGGAGGTTCCAGTGAGCCAAGATCACGCCATTGCACTCCAATCTGGGCAACAAGAGCAAAACTCCGCCTCCAAAAAAAAAAAAAAAAAGAAAAGAATATAAGATGCCACATAGTACACATATTATATGAGAAATTGCCTCTCTGGTTCCAAATTAAGCATGTTTCCATCTAACAGGCTTTTTTCCCCTATTTACTTAAGTTCTAATAACAGCACTTTTTTTTTTTTTAACATTTCTTACTTTCTATAAATGAGGCATAGTACAGAAGGTTTTAAGTATATGTCCTCATATAATCTTCACAACAGTCCTATGAGTTAGTAACTATCACCATTAACCCCATTTTACAGGCAAAAAAAAAACTTCTTGGTTTTTACACAACTAGTAATGGCAGGCAGATCAGGAATGACACTGAGATGGCCAAATATACTGACACCAAAGCTTTTGGTTTTTATTCTTCATTGCAATTAGAATAACTCGGCAACAAATATTATGATCCAGGTAACTGTCATATATATAGAGAGAGACAGATGGAGTCTCACTCTGTCGCCCAGGCTGGAGTGTAGTGGCGCGATCTCAGCTCACTGCAACCTCCACTTCCTGGGTTCAAGTGGTTCTCCTGCCTGAGTCTCCCGAGTAGCTAGTGTCTGCCACCACTGGCACCTGCCATCAAACTCAGCAACTTTTTTTTTGTATTTTTAGTAGAGACAGGGTTTCGCCATGTTAGCCAGGCTGGTCTTGAACTCCTGACCTCAGGTGATCCACCTGCCTTGGCCTCTCAAAGTGCTGGGATTACAGGCGTGAGCCACCACAGCACCCAGCCTATATATATGAATTTAATGTTCTCCTTTTAGAGTCACACAGCCTTGACACATGCATAATTCGTTCACGTTAAAAACCTTAAGTGAGATCAAAGACCTGAACTTAAGAGCTAAAACTATAAAACTCCTAGAAGAAAACAAAGGGGAAAATATTTATGACATTGGATTTGGCAATGATTTCTTGAATGTGACACCAAAAGCACAGACAACAACAATAAAAAACATAGATAAGTTGGACTTCATGAAAATTTAAAACTTTGTGCATCCCAGGACACTATCAACAGAATGAAAAAGCAACTCACGGAATGGGAGAAAATATTTGCAAATCGTATATCTAATAAGAGATTGGTATCCAGAATGTGTAAGGAACTTCTACAATTCGACAATAACAAATGATAACCCCATTAAAAAAATGGGCAAACTGAAACTCTATACTCATCAAACGACAACTCCCCATTCCCCCAGTCCCTAGAAATCACCTTTCTAGTTTCTAGCTCTATGAAGCTGACTACTCTAAATATCTCACGTAACTGGAATCATACAGTACTTGCCCTTTTATAACAGGCTTACCTCATTTAGCATAATGTCCTAAAGCTTCATCCATGTTGTAGCATGTGTCAGAACTTCCTTCCTTATTAAAGCTGAATAATATTCCACTATATGTACATACTACATTTTGTTTATCCATTCATTTGTTGATTAACACTTGGGTTACTTCTACCTTTTGGCTACTGCAAATAATGCTGCTAGAAACATGAGTGTACAAATATCTCTTCAAGTCCCTACTTTAAATTCTTTTAAGCATATATCCAAAAGTGGAATTACTGGATCATATGATAATTTGATTTTGAATTTTCTGTGGAACTACCATATTTTCCACAGCAGCCACACTGTATTATATTCCCTCCAACAGTGCACAAGTATTCCAATTTCTCTACATTCTCGTCAACATCTATTATTTTCTGGGATTTTTTTGGTTTGTTTGATAGCCATCCTAATAGGCATGAGGTGGTTTCTCATCATGGTTTTGATTTGCATTTCCCTAGTGATTAGTGATGTTGAGTATTTTTTCTTGGGCTTATTGGTTATTTGTACTTCATCTTTGGAGAAATGTATATTCAAATCTTTTGCTCATTTTAAAATCAGGGCTTTTTTTTTTTATTGTTGAGTTGTAGGAGTTCTTTTTATATTATAGATATTAACCCAACAATGCTGGAACCTTTTTTTTCATGGCTTAAAACATCAGAAGTTTATTAGTTTCAGTGATTCATGGGTTGACTGAGTAGTTCTTGTGCTTCAGTGATGTCATCTGGGATATGGCCCAGTCCAAAACAGCCTCACTCATGGCTAGCAACTGGTATTGGTTGTCAGGCAGAAACCTCAGTTCTACTCTCCATGTGACTGCTTGGGGTTACTCACAGCATGGAGACTGGATTCCAAGATGGCATATTCCAACCAGCAAACTTAGACATTGCAGATCTCCTGAGGCCCAGCCTTTGAAGTTACACAGCAATATTTCTGCCACATTCCAGTGGTTAAATAAGCCATAGGACCAATACAGATTCAAGGGAAACAGAAATAGACTTCACCTCTTGGTGGGATGGGTGGCAGAAAAGTATTGTGACTATCTTTAAATCCCTATAGTCAGGAAGGGCACCATCACCAAAGCTAGCAAAAGGTGCCACCACTGCTGCAGAGGCCCAATGTCATTTGGTCCAAAGCACAGACTGCCTTATGTTGATGTATTGAGACTGCCATCTCCTATTGCTGCTAATACCAACAGTGCTATTTACCATTACTGAAGAATTATGATAAAGTCACAGGCACCATCCTTCATACTGTCAATACTGCTGAAATCAATGGTACCGAATACCTTGCATCCTCATTGTCCAACATGATTTTAACAAAACTCTTTTAGGACCATGTGCAGTGGCTCACGCCTGTAATCCCAGCACTTTGGGAGGCTGAGGCAGGCAGGTCACTTGAGGTCAGGAGTTCAAAACCAGCCTGGCCAACATGGTGAAACCCTGTCTCTACTAAAAATACAAAAATTAGCTGGGTGTGGTGGCACGTGCCTGTAGCCCCAGCTATTTGGGAGGCTGAGGCAGAAGAATCACTTGACCTCAGGAGGCAGAGGCTGCTGTGAGCCGAGATCGCACCACTGCACTCCAGCCTGGGCGACAGAGCGAGACACTGTCTCAAAAAACAAACAAACAAACAAACAAACAAAAAAACAAAAAAAACCCTCTTTTTGGGATTTTATTCACAGCCCCCAATGGCAGCCACCTATCACTCAGGCGCCAGGTCTGTCCAAGGGCTGTGGGGCCAGGATCAGAGATTGTTAAGTAACACAGCATGAAGCCTGAGGCACTAACACAGAAATCAACCGTCTCCTCTGCCCTTTGGCACTGGAACTGAACCAAACCTGACCACCTCATTTGTTTCTTTTAAGTTTTATTTTAGGTTCAGGGGTACATACTTAGGTTTGTTATATAGGTACATTGTGTGTCATGGGGGGTTTGGTGTATAGATTATTTCATCACCCAGGTAATAATCACAGTACCTGATGGGTAGTTTTTTGTTTTGTCTTGTTTTGTTTTTATTTATTTTTTTGAGACAAAGTCTCACTCTGTCACCCAGGCTGGCATGCAGTGGTGTGATCTTGGCTCATTGCAACTTCCACCTCCCGGGTTCAAGTGATTCTCATGCCTCAGCCTCCCAAGTAGCTGGGACTATAGGCACGTGCCACCATGTCCAGCTAATTTTTGCATTTTTAGTACAGACGGGGTTTCACCATGTTGCCCAGGCTGGTCTCGAACTCCTGACCTCAGATGATCTGCCCACCTCAGCCTCCCAAAGTGCTAGGATTATAGGCATGAGCCACCGCACAAGGCCTGATATGTAGTTTTTTGACCCTCACTCTCCTCTCACCCTCCACCCTCAAGTAGGTCCCAGTATCTGCTATCCCCATCTCTGTGTCCATATGTACTCAATCTTCAGTTCCCACTTATAAGTGAGTACATGAAGTATTTGGTTTTCTATAATGCTGGAACTTTTAAGATATATTTGTGATTCACCATATTTATACATTTAACTCACTGGATTTTCAAGAGTTCTTTAAGTAATTAGGAATGCCTATTTGCTAGATAACTGGAGTACTTACAAAGAATATAAATTACATTTTATTTTATAAAAGCCAATATTAACAAAATTTGTAAATAAGTTCACATATTAATCAAAGGCCCTTTAAATGGCATTGTTAAAATTTATGCCACTTATAAAGAGAATAACATTTGTTAATTAAAATTAAGATTAAGGAAAAACTAAGTTTATGTTTAAAAATCATATATTAATGTAAAAAAATCAAAATAGATCATCTCTCTCCTGTACTCCAAACTCTCAGCAGACTCTGAGAGGCAAGGTAGCTTGCACATGGGTTCAGAGGGCTTAAATATGTAGATAATCCAGACTACACTTTTTAAAACTTTATTATCACAATGAAACACTCGTTTTAAAAAATTATTGGACAGAACTCATGAAAATATGTGTGTGGACCAGCTTGAGAACATTTCACTAATTAAGAGTGTGGGCCAGGTGCGGTGGCTCACGCCTGTCATCCCAGCACTTTGGAAGTCCCCATTTTTAACTAGTGCTATAATGCCTCACAGAGAGCCTAGATTCATGTTTCAAATCACTTGGGAAATACTGCAGAGAACAAAACAAACAGAAAAGATCAATACGATATTTCTAAGTGTTGCTAACTTATTTGACTTTCTCACTGCATAATTTCATTCAATGGATACTCACTGTGCCTCTGTGACATGTCCTGTGTTAGAATAGTAAAATGAAGGCACGCGGTTCCCATCTCCAGTGACTGCACAGTTCCCAATGAGACTGTTTCCTAGGAAACGTGACATTCTGGAGCAAGACACAGGCTCCTCCCTGCTGGGCAGCAGCTTAAATACTGAATAGTTCACTAGTCAGTGTGATTCTATTCAAAATCTGTTCCTGACTAATTCTAGGAGGCCAGTCATTCTCTCTCTGCCTTGGAGTTTTAGTGAGTCAGAACACCTCCTCTCCATCTGGGAAGGCAGCCAAACTTTGAATCAAAACCTTCCCAGGCTTCTTAGTCTGCCACCAATTTAAGGAAATCCCAAACATGAAAAGTTCCAGCTTACAAAACAGATATATTAGGCATCAAGAGGATTCGCTCTGTCTCACAGATTCCCCCAAAGATTGCTTTCAGCAATGAGTGTCCCTTGGGCATTTAAATTCTGATTCTTTCTACACCTGAAATTCAGTTCCTATGAAACAGGAAGAGACCTGTTATGTAGTGGGAGGTGAACTTGTGGTCCTTTGTATTTACCATCTGCAACAGTCTCATGAGCCTTGGCAATCTGCCCTAGCTCCTGTATCAAGCCCTGGAAGCAGTCCTTACAGAGCAAATGCTGGCAGGATAGGAGACGAGGGCCCACACCTGGCAGGTAGTGAGGGCACAATGACCAGGTCATTACCATGGCCTCAATCTGTCCACTCTTAGGGCAGGGTTTCTGGCCAACTAATGGCAGCCCCATAAAGCTCATGCCCATGTCCACAGCCATGCCTATGCCCAGAACCAGGGCTTTTCCACTGATATGCTAAGGTGAGAAGCAGCGTGTAGAGTGAGCCAGCTCCACTCCCTGTAAGTGAAGCACAAAGCAGAGTGATCTATTTCTTTTGGGCAGAAAAAAATCTTGTACAGGCCAGAGGGGCCTCGGAGAACAAGGCCTCTAAAGTCCAGGCCATGTTCCTCCCCAGAGCTGGAGGCTCATGCCTCAGCCACAGTTCCTCACCTGGGACCAAAAAGAGAGTCCAGCCATCTCTGCCGTGGAAAACAAAGTCTGGAGGTGTCTGCTTTTGTTTGAAGGCAAACAAACCCTTCAAAAGTGTCCCAGACCTGTGCCTCTCCTTATTGGTAGGCAAGCTTGACCTAAGTTTTAATTTTGGAAAAAGGAAGAAAACTGCATTATTGACAAGTTTATGACAGGCATTTTACATACTGTATTTCAAAGGGGTTAAGACACTTTTACAAATTAAATAAAACCAAGAGGGACAGGCTGAGGAAAGAGGCTTAGAGAGGTTGGGTCACGCACAAAAACAGATGGCAAATGGCAGAGTCCAAATTCAAATCCAAGTCAGTCTGATTCGGGACTCCAGCCTTTTTTTTTTTTTTTTTTTGAGACAGTGTCTCACTCTGTGGCCCACGCTAGAGTGCAGTGGCACAGTCACAGCTCACTGCAGCCTTGACTTCCCCAGGCTCAAGTGATCCTCCCACCTCATCCCACCTCAGACTCACAGGTAACTGGGATGACAGGTGCATGCCACCACATGTGGCTAATTTTTTGTATTTTTAGTAGACAGAGTTTCACCATGTTGCCCAGGCTGGTCTCAAACTCCTAGACTCAAGTGATCTGCCTGCCTTGGCCTCCCAAAGTGCTGGAATTACAAGTGTGAGCCACCACACTTGGCCCGCACTCTTAATTAGTGAAATGTTCTCAAGCTGAGGTCCACACACATATTTTCATGAGTTCTGTCCTCTAATTTTTTAAAACGAGTGTTTCATTGTGATAATAAAGTTTTAAAAAGTATAGTCTGGATTATTTACATATCTAACACAATATGATTTTGGGGGTAGTGTTAAGAGCCTAGGATCTAGTACACACCAGGCAGTTTTACTTGTCTCAGGCTAATGAGCTGAGAGAGGAGCAGACTTAATACACAAATAATGTATTCTTGCCACTTGAAGTCTAAACGACATTGTGGCACAAAATGATGCATGTTTTACAGTACTTGGAACAGAGAAAGGAAGTGGGAAAATTGAGCCATCATCATTGTGGCATATGTTTGCTGAACTTAGCTACAAGAGTGAGCACCACATTTAAGTCTTAATGATAGTTTACTTTAGAAAAACATCAAGTACATGTGAAATTAATATTATTAATTTGATGACTTTATAGTTTTTTATAATTTATAAACTGTATTCAGTTTTATAGTTGTATAAAAACTAAAGGCCAAAGGAAGTTGTACCTAGTTTTATATTTGTACTTATTTAAGAAACAAAATACAAATCATTTAATTCAAATCTGGGTCTCGGTAATTATGCAAGTTTGAGAAAAATTTCACCCCAGTATGAAGTCTTTAGGAGACAAGCCTTCAGGAAGGAGGAAGGGTGATGGGGCTGGGAGAGGCTAGGTTGCCTGGGGTCCAGAAAGATGCCGCTACATAAAGCCATAGATAGATGTGCACTTCTAATTCCTTCTGGGAATTATTTAGCAGAAAACAGCCATAGCAGCAGCATGATTAGAGACAAGGACAGTCTCTATTAGAAGTTCAAGTATGCCTGAGTTTCTTTCGTTGGGCCGGTAGTTCTCAAACTTTTTGGTCTTGGGAACCCCTTTACATATGTTTACTTATTGAAGACTCCAAAGAGAGTTTATTTATGTGAGTTATATCTCTTGCTATTTACCACATTAGAAGTTAAAGCTGAGAAAATTTAAAAACACTAATTTTCATAACATAATAAACCTGCTATATGTTAACACGAATAACATACTTTATAGGAAAAAATAACTATTTCTTTTTTTCCTTTTATTTATTTATATATTTATTTTTTAAGACAGGGTTTTGCTCTGTTGCCTAGGCTGGAGGGCAGTCGTGCGAAGTTCACTGCAGCCTCAAACTTCTGAGCTCGAGCAAACTTCTTGCTTCAGCCTCCTAGGCAGCTAGCACTGCAGGCATGTGCTACCACACCCAACTATTTTATTTTTATTTTTATTTTTATTTTTGTAGAGACCAGGTCTTGCTATGTAGCCCAAGCTGGTCTCAAACTCCTGGCCTCAAGTGATCCTCCACATTGGCCTCCCAAAGTGCTGGGATTATAGGCGTGAGCAAGCTGCACCCAGCCTAAAACAAAATTAACTTCTTTCATAAAAATTAATTTAATGAGAAGAGTCACACTGTTTCTCGTATGTGCCAAACTCTTTAACATCTGGCTTAATAGAAGACGGCTGGATTCCCATACCTGCTTCTGCAGTCAATCTGTTATATGTTCTTTTGTTTATAGTATATGAGGAAAATCCAGTCTCACACAGACATATAGCTGGAAAAGATAGGAGTACTTTAATAGCCTTATCAGGTAATTGTGGATATTCTTTGATACCACACCAAAATTCAACAAGTGGTAGTAGTTTCTTAAATGTTATTTATAACGTAGACTCTGAACCAAACTTTTCTATTTCTGTTATATTAAAATCTGCTGATCTTGCTCTTTGAACTACTCTTTTCCCCAGGCATAATTTTTTAACACCAAGCATTGGTCATTTGGAAAATACCAGTTCAATGACTTAAGCAGATGTTCCAAATATCGACACATTTCACTACACAATAACAAAAAAATCACATTCTTTAGAATCACCTCTAATCTCATCAGAAATTTCTTTAAGTATTGAGAAGCTGCCAAACTCAGGGAGGCAGCAAAAACTGTACCAGAATTCTAACTTGTGCTTGAACGCTTGAATTTTATCATTGGCAACAAATACTGTCATTTCACTTTTGAGAAAATATCTGACAAATTCCCATGTCTGATTAACCACAGTTTGTCTGCCAGTTATTGTTTTTTGTTGTTGTTGTTGTTGTTGTTGTTGTTGTTGTTGTTTGAGATAGAGTTTTGCTCTTGTTGCCCAGGCTGGAGTGTGCAATGGCATGATTTTGGCTCACTGCAACCTCCGCCTCCCAGGTTCAAGTGATTCTCCTGAGTCAGCCTCCCAAGCAGCTGGGATTACAAGCATGCACTGCCACACCCTGCTAATTTTGTGTTTTTAGTAGAGACATGATTTCTCCATGTTGGTCAGGTTGATCTTGAACTCCCGACCTCAGGTTATCTACCCGCCTTGGCCTCCCAAAGTGCTGGGATTATAGGCATGAGCCACTGTGCCCCGCCTGCCAGTTGTCCTTTCGTGTAATACTGATGTTTCATTTTTTATTTATTTTTATTTATTTATTTATTTATTAGATGGAGTCTCGCCCTGTCATCAGGCTGGAGTGCAGTGGTGTGATCTTGGTTCACTGCAACCTCCGACTCCCTGGTTCAAGTGATTCTCCTGCCTCAGCCTCCTAAGTAGCTAGGATTACAGGCATACACCACCACGCCCAGGTGATTTCTGTATTTTTAGTAGAGACGGGGTTTTACCATGTTGGCCAGGATGGTCTCGATCTCCAGACCTCGTGATTCACCTGCCTCGGCCTCCCAAAGATTACAGGTGTCAGCCACCACACCTGTCTGTGATGTTTCATTTTTTAAAAGGCTAGTTTAACTTGCAACTCAATAGCACAAGCACAGTTTCTCACTTTGATATGTAGCGGGAACACTTTTTCTTCACACAGAATATCAAAAAGAAATCTAAAAAAGTACTTCAGAATTTAAGATTGAGATTTAATAAAAATTGTTACCACTTCATCATTGACGGACATTCTTCAGGTAAACTCTCTTCCTCTTCCTCTTCCTCCTCCTTCTTCTACTACTACTACTACTACTACTACTACTACTACTACTACTACTACTACCGGCAGATGCCTAGTGGTAAAGAATATAATGTTTTGTTCCAGTTCGGTGCTCAAAACATCAGCAGTTTTATACAACATTGCTTTGGCATCAGTGCAAATGTCAACCAGTGAAAAGATCAAATAACACGTTAGCTTTATTATTAAAATTGTTTTGACCTGTGGACCCCCTGAAATGATCTCAGGGACCCCCTACCCCATAGGGTCTACAGATCACACTTTGAGAACTACTGCATTAGACCTTGCATCACAATTCTGGGAATTCAGGGAGGTATCATGGCTTTCCACCATGAGCAAGTACTACACAGGGTAAGAATATAAAGAAGCAAGCATCTCATTTATGTCTTAGAAAGCCATTGAAGTTACTCCATGAAAGTAAAAGTTTAATTTAAAGGCACATCCACGCAATGAGTTTCTGATTTGAGAAGAGGAAGGGTCAAATGACCCCATTTCTGTCCCCTTTCTGTGGCTGCTTTCATCATAAATTAGTTCTTCCCTCTCCTTCTTATCTCCCCTGACCTAGAAGAGTGGAGGGGACAGAGTCTGGAAGACTATACTTACACCAAGATAGTAGATTCAAATGCCTACAGGGACTGGGCAATCTATATGAATAAAGTGCTTTACTTAAAAGAATGTGGGTCTAGTGTCTCCAAATCTTAGTTTTCCAAAACCCCAGAAATTCTTATTTTTATTTAAATTTTAAAATGTTGGTAAAAAGTTAAATTTTAAGACATTACCTTGCCACAAACCACCTCCTTTTAACATCTTACCACATCTGTATTTAAGAAAAGGAAAATACTGACTGGAGTACCTTAAGCTTGCCAAGGAATGACGGAACAAGTCATTCCACATCACACTGGCAATAAGAATTTCAAAGATAGTTTGCATGAGGGGTACAGAACAAATTATCATAAAAATAACACTCATTTTAGGGAGAAAGACTAGGTAATGAGAGTAGCTACTCTTTGCTAGGCTGTGTTATATATGATACATTATTTGTTTGCTTGTTTAATGTATGTCTTAGACATAGTCTTAGGGAAGGACTTTTGCCCTTCCCTATTCACAATTGTACCTGCCCTTCACTTGCCTGACACCTAGTGCAGGAACACAGTATACACTCAATTAATATTTATAAAATGAATGAATTAATCTCATCATTTTTTCATTATACAGACAAGAAAACAGATTCAAAGAGAATATGCTATTTGTTCAATATAATTCAGTTAGTAAAAACAGAACTAGGAGACTGGGTGTGATGGTCACGCCTGTAATCCCAGTGCTTTGGGAGGTCGAGGTAGGAGGGCTGCTTGAGGCTAGCAGTTTGAGACCAGCCTGGGCCACATACAAGACCCTATCTTTAAAAACAACAACAACAACAACAACAACAACAACAAAAACAGAACCAGGCAATGAACCCAAGTTTCTGTGTTCTTTCCATTAATTTTATCCTCTGAAATTAAATGAAAACCCAAATACGTAACTTCTTTTTTCTGCTATTGTATAAACTGTTCTCAAAGACTCTAGAATTTCTCTTTTCATGTTTTGTTACTCTGAGTTTAATGGCAGCATGGTTTTCCACCCTAGTTTCCGACAAAGCTTTAGGAATATATTTGCCATGTAGAACAATCTATCCAACACTGGAAAGAAAGACTCCTAAAAATCCCTAATCTTCCAATTAGATTATTTTTACTTTGTGCTGAAGAAAACCCCGCCTGATCTTATGGATTTCCCCTAAATGCCATATATCAAAAACTACTGATAAAGGCAAACAAAAACCCCCAAGGCTAGGGAGGTTAAAATGAAACTGGAAACTGTACATATTGCTGGTGAATAAATTGGCACAATCCTTTTGGAAAAAATCTATAGTAACATAAAATGAATCACAAAAATGTTCATACCATATAATCCAGCAGTCTCACTCCTGGGAATTTATCCTAGACAAGTTATTCAACAGGAGAAGAAAATATTATATACAAATGCTCATTCCATCATTGTCTCTAACAGCAAAGAATACAGTAAGAATTTTTTTAAAAAACAAAACACACAAGAAAGTGGCTTAATAAATGATAGTATATGCTGAAAATAAATTACTCTTCAGCTGTTAAAAATAATCATGAAGACTGGTTAGTGATATGAAAAACTGCCATGGTATTAAATAAAAAGCAGAATACAAAAGGATTTGTATACTATGATCATCAACTTTGCAGACAGCTATGTCTCCACGTATACAAGGGTTGAAAGGTAATACTCAGAAAACGGCACCATAGGGTGGAATGATTTGAGTTGCTTATACTTAAATTTTTTTCAGAATTTTTTTTACTGTTGTACTATCTATTATGTATACTTTTTCAAGTCTTTCTGAAATAAATTGGGATTTCTGAGTTTTTCTCTAATTCTCACTTGGAAAAAAAGCAGAAACACTGCTTCTTCCCATCTTGATTAACAGTGTTCTACTTAAAAGAGAAAACAAACATAGTATTTCCAAATGTCCATATCTAAAGATGGAGAGCAAGAAAACAGAGCTGGATCCATCCAGGATGTTGCTGCTATCTGAAGGACTGATGTCGAATTCAGGAACCCAGCAAAGAGAGAAAGGAAGAGGGATCACCAGGGCCTTCTTCAGGGTGATGATGTGTTCCCAAGGCCACCTGGAGAGAGGCCCGGCGCAGCAAAAAATCAGCACACTTGCCTGCTTCACCAGGATGCTGCCTGGTATCATCTCTTCCATTCATTTCAGAGGTATTTTCTGAGGCCCTCACACTCTGAGGAAGCCCAGATGCCGGAGATGTCACAAAGCTATGCTGTACTTCAGAAGAGATGTCACAGAGAAGGACACCCCTCAGGAGTCATGGCCAAAGGTCATGTCCCATGTGCCTAGTTGGGAGGGACAGGTCCCCTAATGCCAAATATCTGGCTGCTACTCCACTTTGCAGACAGAGAACTCAGCTTTGTCTGCTCTCTCAGACCTCTGTCCACCTAGGAAAAGTGACACACACTGAACAAACCCCACATGAGTTGTGTGTTTAAGTCATGTGGTTGCCTTTTGAAGGAGAGGGAGCTGGATAGAAAACTGGATCGAGCCAGATAACTACCCAGGGTACTCCCTCTACAACCAGATCAAACCATTGATAAGAAGAATGTTAGGTGAGCACAGAACCCAACGGGGAGTGCTGGGTCCACTCTGGGAGGTCTTCTGTTCAGCCGGGTGGCCTGAGGGACAGGATGTAGCTCCTCCATAACCAAGGAACCTGGCGAACTATCCAGGAGGAGTGTCTCAGCACCTAGAACCCTACCCCAACTCCTTGCAGTGGTGGTCCTCATTGCAGGCCCCAGCTCTAATACCCCTGATGGTTCCCTTCCATTCCCAAGGCTCTGCCCAGCTTACCTGCATTGACAGATCATCTTCCCAAGGTTAGGTTCCAGGTAACCCAGCTCATTTCTTGTGCACTTACTGGCCAGTTTTGATGTCAAATAGACGATGATCTCTTCTTTGATCTCACCTCCTACTCTCAAGACCCCTCTTCCTACTGGTCACATGCAGTATGTGATTAAGGTTGATGGAGGGATGAAGACCATAATGCTGTGAGGTCAGAGAGGGACTGGTCACTGAGGTAAAAGCAGGAGATCTGGAGAGAGAAGACTAAAGGCTATGCCCAGGCTCTGTAGCTGACCACCTATGCAGTGTCTGACAAGTTACCTAATTCTTCTGTGCTTCAGTTTTCACATGCATAAAATGAGGCTGGTAGTGCTGTACCTTCAGGCAGATGCATTTTGTAAACTGCCAAGTGCTCTGAAAATGTTGGTTGTTATCCTTGTAGACTGAAGTGTTCTGGGAAGAAACAGAATATAACGTGGACCTTAAAGGTTGAGGAAGATTCAGGACACATGGTCAGGAAGAGGATAGGCACTCCGGGATGGGAAACAGCATGAGCAAAGGCAAAAATGCAGATGGGATATACCAAACATGGCTGCAGTAGAAAGCTTGTGTAAGGGAGAGGCTGAGGTAAGGTTGGAAAGGCAAGTGGGCTATATTCTGTTGGTCATAAGGAGCTATTGAACTTTTTGATCAAGTAAGTAAAAGAATGGAAGTCATGTTTTCGGAATACTAACCTGGTGGAGATGTGAAGGATACAGAGATTGGAGCAGGGTTAGAAGGCAGGCAGAGTGAACAAAGGAAGGTGTTGTAAACTCCAGATAAGAGATATGATGCGGGCCTGAATGAAGGCAGGGGCACTAAGGCTTAAACAGAGGAAGTACATTAGAGAGATAGAACAGAAACAAAAGGATAGGGTGACAGTGCAGCAGAAGAAGAGAAGGTTTGGGGACAATTTTCATTATCTAGGTGGACAATGGTGCTACTCACCAAGACAGAGAATAAAGGAGAAGGCACCAGTGAGCAGTGAAGATTGAGTTCTTTGGATATGTTTACTTTGTCTGTAGAATGTCCAAGGAATACTAACCAGTAATTAAGTGACCATATGGATGTGGAGCTCAGCAATAAGGATGTGAATTGAAGCCACCCAAGAAGACCATATACTGTGAAAACATAAGGACAAGGACAGAAGGCTGAGGAACATCAACATTTAAATGGTGGACAACGCTGGAAGAATCTGAAAAGAAGACTGAGAAGTGACCAAAGAGTAGGAGGAAGGCAAGACTTTCTCTAGAAAAAGACGTCAACAGATTAAAGTACAACAGAAAGAACAAGTGGTATCAAGAATAGGAAGAGTCCAATTTGGCAATTGGTTCATTAATGGCATTAGTAAGAGCAATTTCATTGCAGTCACAGGCTGTGAGCTAGATTGCAGAGAACAATGGATGGGAAGGTGCAAATGGGCAGGATTTGTAGACTACTCTTTTGGGGAGCTTGGCTGTAAAGGAAAGGGCAAGGACATGGGAGAATTTTGGATTTTTTTTTTTTTTTTTTTTTTGAGATCGAGTCTGGCTCTGTCACCCAGGCTGGAGTGCAGTGGCGTGATCTCGGCTCACTGCAAGCTCCACCTTCCCGGTTTACGCCATTCTCCTGCCTCAGCCTCCTGAGTAGTTGGGACTACAGGCGCCCGCCACCTCGCCCGGCTAATTTTTTGTATTTTTAGTAGAGACGGGGTTTCACCGTGTTAGTCAGGATGGTCTCGATCTCCTGACCTCGTAATCCGCCCGCGTTGGCCTTCCAAAGTGCTGGGATTACAGGCGTGAGCCACCGCGCCCGGCCAGAATTTTGGATATTTTTATATTTTAGCTGAAGGGGGCAAGAGAAATAAAAATAAATACACACTCACGCTCACACATACACACAGGGAATAACTGAGGGGGTGGGATTTTAAAAATTTATTTCATTTTTCCCATGGGATCTATTAATAGACTAGCGAGGGGATGGGATCTTGAACACTGGCTGAAGTAACCGACTTAAGAGAGAAGACACGCTGCTATTAGCGAAGACAGGGACGTGAGGGGAAGTTCATTTATTCACTCAACAATCACTAGTTGAGTGTGGATAAAAGAAAACCGTCCTTGACCACATAAGGAATTAGGTCTAGTAGGGAAGACAAACGTAGGTCAATAAATTACATAAGGGCTGTACTAGATTGTATGGTGGTACAGGTGGGGAAGCGAGCAACTATGTCTGCATTGCGTCCAGGAAAGGGTCACAGGCGTGTTATGTAGATTCTGGAGAAAATTCAAAAACAGCATTTATTTTTACTTATTTACTTTTGTATGTAGAGACAAGGGTCTCACTATGTTGCCCAGGCTGTTGTTGAACTACTCGCCTCAAGCAATCCTCGCGCCTCCACCTCCGAAAGTGTTGGGACTACAGGTGTAAGCCACCGCGCCTGGCCTAAATGCGGCATTTAGAAAAAGTATTTACAATATCTGCATTAAAAGAACCATAAAGCAACCAGGTATCTAAGTCCCTGAACCGATTTAAGTTGCTCAAACCTGAGAGGACAACCAAATGATAGCAGAAGGGCAAAAGAGAAAGGAAGCCGGAGTGCCCACTCAGGAGTGTGAGCGGCAGGAGGCATTTCGGGAGCCGCCCGAGCTTCAGAAAACGGAGCGAGACACCAGGTGGCCATACTGAGGATTAAACAGGGCCTCGCGGTTCCGCACTGCGGCCGGGAGACAAACCAGCCGCCACTATCACCAGCCCCGAGCAAACCACTAAGAACTGGGGAGGCGCGCGGGGCGGCTCAGGGCTGGCGCATCTGGTGAGGAGCTTGATACCGAGGCCCTTAGGGTCGGCTTAGGCGGTTCCCTGGCCCAGGCGCCAGAAAAGGGGCCGGCTCAAGCAGGCATGGGCGGCGTGCAGTACAGCACACCTAGCCCCAATTCTTCAACAGTTCTCGTCTTCCGAGCCTGTCACAGCCGGCTTCACCGAGACCGTTCACCGCCACCACAAGATTCTGTGAAGGGTATCACCACCCCGAGGAGGCGACTAGGAGACGCGCAATCCCGCGAGACCAAGAGGCCCCGCCCGAAGCCCGGCCTCTGTGACCGGAAGTGAGGCACTTGGCCCCGCCCCCCGTGCCCGATACCTCGCGAGACTTGGCGAAGGCCTTCCTTTTTCGTCTGGGCTGCCGACATGGTAGGTGTTTCGCTTCTTGCCTCCTCTTCCTTGCCGGCGGGGACTCCTAAGCTCATTCCCATTGCCCCTAGTCATCCACTCCCTACCATGGTCGGGGCTTCCAGGCTGCGCATGGCCGCCTGCAGGGCAGGGTGGCCGGCGCGGGCGCGGGCGCGGGGCGGGGCTCCCGGAGCCGTCTGTTAGGCCCGCGGTTCAGATCTGTGGGACACGCGGCCTCCGGCGCTACCGTGGTGAGCACGGCCCTAGGCCGATCGGTACCCTCAACTTTACCGAACGCTCAATTAGTTGGGTCCTTGATCCACAGGCTTACAGGCCCATCTCACAGCTGGCAGGCATCGCCCCCCTGCCCCTAATTCCTTAGGCCTTACCACCAAGCTTTTTCCACACAGCCATCCAGACTGAGGAAGACCCGGAAACTTCGGGGCCACGTGAGCCACGGCCACGGCCGCATAGGTGAGTGCCGGCTTCCCCTCGGGGTGGGCCTTGGGCTCTCTTCGGGTGCTTAGCTAGTCTGGAGATCGGTAGCCTATAAGAATAAGACCTTTTTGTGGGGTCAAGTTGGACAGCTGTTGATTTTTTTCTGAGGATCCTGTAGTAGTCCAGTTCTAAGGAATTTCACATCAGTGGAGTAATAGGAATTGAGCAGGCACGGTATTAGGTTAGTTGAAGACGTGGAGTACTGTGGGAATACTGTGATGTGGAACCTGAAAAGATGTTTCACCCGGAATCCTGAAGTAATCGCATTGCTGAAACCGGCATCGGTAGGGTAGGAACAGCGTAAGCGGGACACAGACGTCTGGGGAAACGCTCGGCTTTTGTACGAGGAAGTATTGAGAGGCATGAGAAGGCTGTGTGGTGCATGTAGCTTTTTTGGGGGGGGCGGGGGGGAAAGACTGATCACTGTCGCCCAGGCTGGAGTGCAGTGGCGAAATCTCGGCTCAAGCGATTCTCCTGCCTCAGTAGCTGGTATTACAGGTGTGCGCCACCACGTCCGGCTGGTTTTTCTATTTTTAGTAGAGTCGGGGGTTTCTCTGTGTTGGCCAGGCTGGTCTCGAACTCCTAACCTCAGGTGATCCGCCCGCCTCGGCCTTCTAAAGTGCTGGGATTACAGGCATGAGCCATCACACCGGCCCCATGTAGCTTTGTATTCCTGCAGGCAAGCACCGGAAGCACCCCGGAGGCCGCGGTAATGCTGGTGGTCTGCATCACCACCGGATCAACTTCGACAAATAGTAAGTGTCCTTGGACTGCTTTTGACACAGCTTGGGAGGTAGGGGCAGAGAGAGGGCTGGCTTAAACAAAAAGTTTAGAAGCAAGCCTTGCCTACTGCTGTTTTTTTACCAAGTTAACACTTCGTGTGAACTGAGAACCTGTCATCGAGGCTAGAGTCACGCTTGGGTATCGGCTATTGCCTGAGTGTGCTAGAGTCCTCGGAGAGTAACTGCTGATCTTATTCACTGGCTGTGGGCCTTGTGGCACAGTCAGTCACCAGGTTAGAGACATGCTTCACATTCACCTACTCACAAACTAGTGGTTGATAAATTTTGGCTATTCGGAAGACCTTTATTATAGGAGTATGTAGATTTTCCATAGAGTGCTGTTATGTGGCTTGAATTTTAGTCTCAGCCCTGCCTCTAACATTGTCAGTGGTTTATCCTGGTTCCAGGAAATAAGACTAGCCTTTTCCTCATGATAGTCTTTGGTGGTTTTTAAAACCGTTGTTTAAGTCAACAGATGTATCATGTGCCTGACACTGCTCTACATCAGTGAACAATTTACACTGTAATGGGGGAGGTAACTATAAAGATGATAAACATAGCATCTTAATTGGAGTGTGTATGAAGGTGGTTGTTATCTCTTCCTAGCCACCCAGGCTACTTTGGGAAAGTTGGTATGAGGCATTACCACTTAAAGAGGAACCAGAGCTTCTGCCCAACTGTCAACCTTGACAAATTGTGGACTTTGGTCAGTGAGCAGACACGGGTGAATGCTGCTAAAAACAAGACTGGGGCTGCTCCCATCATTGATGTGGTGCGATCGGTAAGTTAATTGGATGTTTTTCTATACTTCCATAACTTCCCTTACAAAAACTCTGGCTTAATCTAATCCACTTAAAACCTGTACTTCCCAGTTACCTACCAGACGTCGATTCTTCCTGTGGTAGAATTATCATAGGTATTTCCCTGTCAGTAACAGTGCCTACTGTCACTGCCCAGGTTGTATCAGGTTTGCATTTCGTGCTTGAACTATAGCTGGTTCTGATCGAGCACAGCTCTTGGCCCTTCATGTTCCCCAGATAATAGAATCCTAATACGTTCCATCGATACTCAGTGCTGTACATTATCTGAAGAGATTCTCCCCCAAAACAGATATATTTTGTTTGTCCTTGGTGGGGGGTTCTGGTCCCTGTGTTAGTCTTAACTCTCATGAATATGGAGGTAATCTTAAGAGGCCAGAACCCTAGGGGCGCTTTAAATTGACTTCCCAGCCTATTTAATGTCCATTGAGTAGTTTTAGTGGTCAGGAAGGTGGTTGTCTTTTGCTTAGCAGGGGGTTTTTGAGCAGGAGGAGGCTTATGCTTTGCCGAGACTAGAGTCACATCCTGACACAACTCTTGTCCTGGTGTGCTAGAGTACTCGAAGAGAATCTTCTGGTCTTGATTCACTGGTGGGGGCAGTTGGTGCCCCCGTTAGTGCCCAGATCAGAAACATACATACCCTGCCTAGGGATTTAGAAAGTGGGCTGGCAGTCTTTCCTCATACCCATCACGCAGTAGGTACCTGCTACAGTGTATTGTAAACTTTTTTCTCTGTTCTTCCAGGGCTACTACAAAGTTCTGGGAAAGGGAAAGCTCCCAAAGCAGCCTGTCATCGTGAAGGCCAAATTCTTCAGCAGAAGAGCTGAGGAGAAGATTAAGGGTGTTGGGGGGGCCTGTGTCCTGGTGGCTTGAAGCCACGTGGAGGGAGATTCATTAAATGCTGACTACTTTTTCTTTGTGGTGTGAGTATAGGTTCTTCAGTGGCATCTCTACATCCTGTGTGCATTGGGAGCCCAGGTTCTAGTACTTAGGGTATGAAGACATGGGTTCCTCTGCTGACTTCCCTCAGAAAGTATATGGTAAAGATAAGACCAACACAGGCATTGGCCAGTGAAACATTTCTGTTTATAAAGTCAGAATGATACCTGTTGATCACTGAAAGGTCTGCATGTATTGTATTCTGAATTTTACAGTGAATGGGAGAATGTACCCTAATTGTTCGATGGGTCTCAAAAGGAAAGATTCCATTTTTAATGGTTCACATTCTAAAGAGGGGCAGTGTGATAGGAATGAGGTGGTCCTTTAGGACTTAATTCCTCAGCCCAAGGTTTTTCCTCTTGGCCCCCCTTTTTTTTAAACGGAGTCTCTCTCTTGCCAGGCTGGAATGCAGTGGCATGATCTCGGCTCCTAGGTTCAAGCAATTTTCCTGTGTCAGCTTCCTGACTAACTGGGATTACAGGCACCTGCTACCATGCCCAACTAATTTTTGTATTTTCAGTAGAGCTGGGGTTTCACCATGTTGGCCATGCTGGTCTCTTAACTCCTAACCTCAAGTGATCTGTCCACCTTGGCCTCCAAAAGTCCTGGGATTATAGGTGTGAGCCACCACACCCGGCCATGGCTCCTTAATCTTGATCGAAATTCTTGTTATATTTTGAATGTGATGAATCAGAGTCTGGAGATGGGGGTCCAGCAATCTGCAATTTCAATATGCCAGGGCTTTTCTGTATGTCAAAGTGGGTTTGAGATGGTTAATTTTTCTTCTAGTCTGAAATGTATCGAGAAAATTTGGAAATCCTGAAGACCAGAAATTGAAATAAGTTTTTCTAGGATTTGTGTCTCTTGCCGTTGGAAAACTGATGGTGACCAATGCATGTTTACAAATAAGATCCTCATAGATCTTAGGGTAAATTATAATTTGCTACAGTTTTATGATTCTTCTTGTGATTTTGAACTTTTTTTGACCCAAAATAACGCAGTCTAAAATTAGGCAAATAAGACGGCACTTAGACTCCTGGGTTTTAGTTAGTGGAGGTTTTCTGTGGGGTCATAATATGCATAAGTCGAGAACCATGGTTGTCTATGGGACATATCTGTCAGGATAACCTTTAGAGGATGTTGGAGATCAAATACAAGGCACAGAGAAACACTGAATTGGCTTACATAAGAATAGGATAGAATTACAAGCAATAGTGAAACCTTGATTCAGCTGGACAATTTTAAGCAAATGTATCATTTGGCTTGTATCTTCTGTTGTGCTGGAGGAGGTTAGAAATAGGGACTCTCCAGACCAGCCTAACCAACCTGGAGAAATCTTGTCTCTACTAAAGACACAAAATTAGCCGGGCGTGGTGCCACATGCCTGTAATCCCAGCAACTTGGGAGGCTAAGCCAGGAGAATCTCTTGAACCTAGGAGGCGTAGGTCACGGTGAGCCGAGATCGTGCCATTGCACTCTAGCCTGCCATTCCACTCTAACAAGAGTGAAAGTCTCAAAAAAGTAAAGGTTCTCCATTAGAGCCCATAGAGGACTTTTAATATGGAACCTGAATTCAAGGATCCCACAATAAGTGGTCAGTAGTTAATGATGAATTAAAGACTAAATGTTTGGTCTCCACTCAATACCTGTGTGACTTTTAGTCCCAATTTCCTCATCTTTAAAATTTAGGTGAAAGTGCCTACCTGAGGATTGTATAGATTAAAATGGAAGCCATGCACTTAATTTTTGTGTTTGACTTAGTAACAAGTGCAAACTATTATGGGAGCAGATGGAGTCAATTGGCCTTCATGTGATTGTCAGTGGGAAATTGGTCCAAGCAGAGGGAATACTGGTTCGGGAAGCTGGTTTGGGAAGGTTAGGCAAACGGGAAGTGCTGTGGTGAAGAGAAAGATTACTCTGACTGGGCTGTAAAGGACAGCTACAATGGGAGGCTGAAGGCAGAACCAAGAAAATGGGAGTATGGAAAAGGTACGATTCAGACGACATAGTGGACAGGACTTGGAGACAGAATTGTAGTGGGCTGATCACAAAATGATGAGACATGGAAGGAAGCAGAGTTTGGGGGAAAAGATCGCTAGTCCCTTAATGGCTACCTTCCCCAGGAGATCATTGTTAGGCCATCCGATCCTCTGGCCTGGGAAAGAAACACTGATTTCATTGCTGGCTTGTTCACTCACCAGAAGCTACAGCTAGTAACTTCTAAAAACTTAGTTTTATGTGATGAGGAACAGATGAAAAGTTTTGAACCCTAAGTCCACCGATTCCAGTGCTTTCTTGAACCCGCATTTACTAAAATATTTTCATGACTGCCAAGCTTTGAATAGCCTGCTGTGTTCATAGAGGCTCACACTGGCGATCTCTAGTGGGTGGCTAAAGCTTGAATTGCAAAGGATACAATTTCTGGTCTAATGTATATATGCCTTAAATATAGTTGCGTTCAAACTTGGGAGCTGCAGGTGCAACTTGATTTTATGACAAATGTCTGCCACATCATTTGCACAAGCAGTGCTCGTCTAGGACAGCTAAATCAGGCGAGCTTTCAATTAAATGTACTACTAGACCCTACTTAGCGGCTAACTAGCCCAAGAGCAGACAGCCCAGGGACGGACTGCAAGTCGGAAGCGCGGGCGGAAGCTCCGCAGCTCCCGCCTGGTGGCTCCATCGGCTGCTTTCATCAGTCAGCACGACCCAACCGCAGTAGCGTCCCTACAACACAGACCGCAGCTTGGGTCTCAGGTCGGCCCCTGAGAGCCACTTCCGGTGACTAGCTTCTACTTCCGGAGATGATGACTTCCCCGCGTCCCAGACTGGAAGCAGCACGGAGGAGACCGGCCTCGCTTGGCCACTTCCGGTAAGGGTGGCGCCAGCCAGTGGTGAGCGAGTGCAGATAGCTCCCCTGGAGAGGCGGGATGTTCAACTCCACCCTTGGTCCCTGGGCGGCCGTGGGTCCCCTTCCAAGCGGAGGAATGGCCAACCTCGCCGCACTTCCAGCACCGATTAGGGTGCGTTTAAGAACGGGAGGCGTGGCCTTTATGTAAATCTTCAAGATGGGAACCTCCAGAATTTGTCTCAATTGTCTAAAAGGTAATGAGCGTCAGCCACGTTCCAAGGGCACTTTGGGCTAAAAAAGAAAGTGCTTGTACACGGATGGAAATGTTCTGGAAACAAAACAAAAGGAATTTCCTCTTGGGAGTTTAGGGAAATGAGGGAGACGAAGTATGTTTTGGTGCTGTTTGTTTTTTGTTCAACCCAATGCATATTTTCATATTGAGAGGCAATATAAATGGAGAAAAATATCTTGAGGAAAAAAAAAAAAAACCCTACCAGAACTTGCCAATGCTGAAAAGTAGTATTTTCTCTTTCGAGAGTTTTCATGGCCTTTTAAATTACACCCCCACCTTCACAGGCAAATAAATTTGTTTTGGAATGCACACCACATCATCTGGCTCTAGAAACGTATTTTGTGTAGCGCCCCTAGCAAGAATGTAGGTTAAAGTGTATATTTAATTCCTGGCTCTATTTTACATCCCAATTTTTATTTTCCTCTCATTCCCACTTTACGTTGTTTCAAATAACCTTGTTTGTGTATCCCTGTAAGTCATTTTGGGTACAAAGTGGGTTATAAGTGTACATGTGAAAAGATATTTTAATAAAAATTTGAGCTGTAACTGTAATCACACTTATTTTCTTGGGTCGTGATATGATTTGGATGTGGTTTTAAATTTGGCCCCTGGTATGGGCAGTGTTGGAAGGTGGAGCCTATTGGGAGGTGTTTAGATCATGGAGGTAGATCTCTCACAAATAGATTAATGTTCTCCTGTGGGGCTGAGTGAGTTCTCACTCTGCTGGGAATGGAAAGCAGGTTGTTTAAAAGGCATCTGGCTTCCTCAGTTTCTCTTGCTTCCTCTCTTACTACCCCCATCCGATCTCTTTGCACATGCCCAGCCCCCCTTCTGCTTTCTGCTGTGAGTTGAAACAGCGTGAGGCCCTCCTCAAGTACAGCTGCCCAATCTTTAACTTTTCAGCCATCAGAATCATAAGCCAAATAAATCTTTTTTATCAATTACCCAGTTCCAGGTATTCTGTTATAGCGACACAAAATGGACTAAGATGGTCCCTAATTCCACAGATTCCAATGTGAACCAGAGTTTGACTAATACTGTTTAAGGGCAATTCTTCAAAATACTGCTTTTTAAAAAGCCCAGAATACTTATTTCAAGACTACAGTTTATCAGAGCATTTAGAACAGTGTAATGAAGCAGCCTGCCCTGCATTAAAAGAACTTAATTGCAGAATAGAGGAGAGCTGACACTCCTACAGGTGAGGGGACTTCCCTGGTAGAGGAGATAGCACTGTTATCCCTGAGCAATTGCCCCAGTATTGTCAGAAAGCCACTGTTTAAGGACACTTGCTCTCAGTGGCCACAATACCATCTTTTATGGGAGTGTTTTGGAAACAGTGGTTTTTTTTTTGTTTGTTTGTTTGTTTTAATTAATAGAAGTGGGGTCTTTACTATGTTGCCCAGGCTGGTCTCAAACTCCTGAGCTCAAATGATCCTCCTGCCTTGGCCTCCCAAAGTGCTGGGATTGTAAGCATGAGCCACTACACCTGGCCACATTGGGGCATTTTTGTTACAGTCATGGAGGGGAAGTGACCAGGGATGCTAAATATCTTGGAATGGATGAGCTGGTCCTACACAATAAAGAAAAATTGAACTTACAATCTAACTTCATTTACATATAACTCCAAAAGTTGGTTTGTTTTTTGTTTTTGCAGTTTTCATATACTTCTCAGTTTCTTAGGATTCTAACTACTGTTCAAATCAGGGGAAGCTCATACTTTGTTTTGTTCAGAACATTCCCAAAAATTGTTCATTTCAGAAAACTCACCAATAACTACTCAGTAGGATCTGAGTTGCTGATACAACACTTTTCTCCATCTGCATATGTAGCTGTTGCATTCACAGTAATTCTGTGTACAGTGTAGGCATGTGATTATCTCTTCTAGTACAGTTGTGCACAAGCATTTACATATTTAAATATTATAACAAAATATTTGTTTTATTTCTGCCCTTTTATATTACAGTTAAGGTATATTTCAGTAGCTTATGTTTGAATTTCATTTCAGGGTAGTGGAGGGAATTAAAGTATTTGCTATTAAAACTAAACTGTTGGATCTGATAGGGTTGAAAATCATTGGTTTAGAGGTCCAGAGATCATGTGAAAGAACGTGGAAAGAAGCCCTGAGATCATGTGAAAGAACGTGGAAAGAAGCCCTGAATACTTTTTGTAAACCCCAAGCCAGGCCCACTGTCCACACCCTCCTCTCCCCATAAGGCTGCTGTGCCTTGGCTATGGCAATCACTCTATGGGCCCTTGCAGCCTATTCTAAGCCATTATATGCAAGTACTGATTTTCTGGATTGGGACCAGAGCTGCAGCCACAGTAGCGGGTAGACATACCGCTCTGGTATTCACGTAAGGGCATACTATATTTTAAAGATATGTAAAAGTGGCAAAATTTATGAATAAGGGCGGATGTGGTGGCTCATTCCTGTAATCCCAGCACTTCAGGACTGCTTGAGCCCAGGAGTTTGAGACTAGCCTGGGCAACACAGTGAGACCCCATTAACGCAAATTTTAAAAAACATTTTACACATACACATCTTGTGATCTGATCGCATGTCTAAAGGTTATTTGGAGCCATGCTGAAAAGGAAGGGTGGAGGAGAATGGGGGAGGAAGGGAAAGAGAGAGAGCGCATGTACCTTTTAGGAATTAAATCTGTATTTTTCTTTTTTTTTTTGAGACAGCCTCGTCCTGTGCCCAGGCTGGAGTACAATGGCACGATCTCGGCTCACTGCAACCTCTGCCTCCTGGGTTCAAGCGATTCTCCTGCCTCAATCTCCCAGTAGCTGGGATTACAGGCATGCACAACCATACCCGGCGAATTTTTTGTATCTAGTAGAGATGAGGCTTCACCATGTTGGCCAGGCTGGTCTTGAACTCCTGACCTCGTGATCCACTCACCTCGGCCTCTCAAAGTGCTAGGATTACAGGCATGAACCACCGCGCCCGGCCTGTATTTTTCTTATTAAGGAATCTGCTTCTGTGACTATCCTAAGCCCAGGCTGAGTTAAGAGTGACGAGTTCTGGAGGGAACTACATCCCACTCTGAGTCTTCTGGTTGTAATCCGTCTTTTCTCTTGATCCGAACTGAAGACTCGCAAGGCTTCAATCCCTGTCCTAGTCCTGGCAAATGGCAGAGCCAGAAAATGACTTCGCCTTCCCAGAAGACAAACCCTCCACTTTATTCTGTGAGGCTGACAGCAGGCCCAAACCATGGACAGGTTGAGGCCTGCGCAAGCCTCTGGAGATGGGGAGAGGGAAGAGGGGAAGGAAACTTAGGATGGGATCATCTCTCAACAAGGGTGGAAGGACAGGAAAACTTTACTCATGGTTCAAATCCTGTCAGACCCAAACACAATACCAAGGAAAACGGTTGCAGCTTAATGCCTCACTTGGGAGTTTGCAAAGTCTCTGCTCTCCCAAGGCCTTGGTGGGTGAAAAGCCTAAACCATCCTTATTTCCCACCTTGTTCCTCTCCTTCCTCTTCTGTGGAATGTAGCAGTACTTTCTGTATGAAAACCTAGGGTTACAATGGAAAAATGATCCACGAGTGACATGGAAGAGTCACAGGGAGTGGGTCAGGGCTATGCCCAAGCCTGCGTTGGCATTAGCTGGGCTTCACTCCACCCATGTCAGGACACTCAAATGACATCTTAGGGGCTTCAGGCTGAAGAGGAAAATGTTAAGATTTACCTAATAATGGGGCCAACGGGCAAAGAGCATTCTTTCCATCACTGGAAACACCTAAGCACAGGCTGAACACTTGAGGGAAGCTGAACTACTGCAATGACTGGGTATCTTCTAACTCTTAAGACCAGTCATGCAACTTAGGCTGGAGAACTCCATTTCAGAGGAGGTCAGTGACTCACACTAAAGCTAACCCCTTAATCTAGTACTCAGTTCCCTGTGTGATGATGTTTCATCTCTGACTGGCCAGTCCCAGCCCACTCCAAGGAGAGAGAACTCTAGATAACAAAGCCAAGGAACACATGAGGCTCTGGGCCCAAACAACTGTACACTGTTTATTGAGAACACCCGTAGATGGGAAGGAGGAATGCCCTGTACCGCATCGTGGCCACCACTGACTGGGAGCCAGGCCCAGAGAGCACTGGCAGAGCTGGGGGTGGGCTTCCCATGACACACTGACCATCTCAGAGGCTGGGAGGAATGAGAGGACTAGGCCTAAGACCCTGGTGCCATGCTGCAAATGGGGACTGATTGGCCTTTGCCTTTCAAAAACAGAGGGTATGGGTATGGGGACTACCAGGAAAAAATAGAAACTCAAGTTTTTTTAAAAGGTCCTCCTGTACATAACAAGACAGCATCTGCTCTCCAGGGCCTGAGACTGGCAGCAGGGGCCTCAGGCAGGCAGGCAGGCCGAAGGCCTCCAGGGAAGATCAGTGGTTTGGCTGAGACAGTCAGCTGCACAAAACTGGCCAGTCACGAGCACCCAGCAAAACTTCATCCATGCTCTGGCAGGACAGGAAAGCACCCGGCCCCTTGGGAATATACAAATATTTACCATATTCTCTTTGCTTGTTACAAAAACAGTTAAGAAAGCTTACAGCAGATTATTTACAAACAGTATCCCGGGATATGATGAAGGCAGAGGTGGGCTGGCTTAGAGGATGGGATCTGTGGGGGCAGAAGAGCCACAGCAGCCCAGAGGGTCCCAGGCTGGGCCTTCTCTCCAGGCTTCAGGCTCTGCAAGGCACTGGACTCTGCTACTGAGAAGGGGGCTTAATTCTTCTTGTGGAGGAACTTCATTTTGTTGCCTGTGGGCCAGAGAGGACAAGAGAGAGAATGTTCAGTGTTATCCCTTCCAACCTCCACTCCCTCTCCTCCTTGTAGCAATAACCCTCTTAGTGGGAGAGGAAGAGGGTTAGGAAGACTGGATTATAGCTGTGATCTGATCCAGGGTAGGGAAAACACGTGAGAGCTCTAATTAGGGCACTGGTATTAATCGCTGTGTGGTTTTAGGCAAGCCACTTAACCTCTTTGGTCTCAATTTCTCTTTAAACAGAAACATGCTATGATTCTCTGATCTGACGGGCTGAGCACCCTGCAGGGAGGGGAGCATTTTGCAGGAAGGGCACTTGCACTGCTGTGTCTGCAGACCTGTTATGGTCTAGAGGAAAGCTCACTGGCTCTCATGGCCTTCATATTCATTCAGGATGGAGTGCACTCAGAAAGACCTGATGTATGTGGGAACCTGGGATTCCTCTTTGTAATGCAATATGGTAAATACAGCCTGCCCTCCGTATCCATGAGTCCTGCGTTCATGGGTTCCATGTTTATAGATTCGACCAACTGGAGATCAAAGATATTTGGGGGAAAAAATGAATGGTGGTGTCTGTACTGAATATATATAGACTTTTTTTTTCCTCATCATTATTCCCTAAACAATACAGTATAATATCTATTTACAGCTGGGTGCACTGGCTAACGCCTGTAATCCCAACACTTTAGGAGGTCAATATGGGAGTATTACTTGAGCCCAGGAGTTTGAGACCAGCCTGGGTAACATAGCAAGACCTCATCTCTACAAAACAAATTTTAAAAATAGCCAGGCGTAATGGCATATGCCTGTAGTCCCAGCTACTCAGGAGGTGGAGGAGGGAGGATCACATGAGTTCAGGAGTTTGAGGCTGCAGTGAGCTAGGATTGCACTAGCTCTCCAGCCTGAGTGACAGAGCCAGACCTTGCCTCTAAAATAAAATAAAATATAAAATAAATAAAATAACACAGTTTACATTGTATTAGGTATTATAAGTAATCTAAAGATGATCTAAAGTATATGGGAGGATGTGCACAGGTTATATGCAAATACTATGCCATTTTATAGAAGGGACTTGAGCATCTGTGGATTTTGGTATCTTTGGGTATCCTGGAACCAATCCCCCACAGATACTGAAGGACCATTACTGTGCAAAATGCCCTTGGAATTCTGGCTGAGAACCACCTCATCACTATGGGACATCCTGTTCTGTCTACAGCCTCAGTGTAACACATGTGGACACTGATTTAGAGTATTTGGGGGCACAAATCCCCCAGCCCCTTCCTTCTTGCTGAACATCTATCTCATGAGTAACAAGGCTACTTACCCAAACCTCGGAGAAACTTATTCATTCCACTCTGCTCAGTGTCTGGGAGTTCTTCTAAGTACTGTTCCACTCGCTGCTCAAAAAGACCTGGGTAAGAGAAACAGGCACAGGGAAGAGAATAGTCATTGGAGGAAAGAAAGGGAAGGAGAGGCCTACATGAAGGGAACCATGGAGCACAGATGCCAAAAAACGAGAAAGCAAGCATCTGGGATGATAATTTGCAGGAGCATCTTACTAGAATTCAGACTGGCTCATCAAAGCAATCGTTAGTGACATCTTGCTCGGGTTCGCTGCTGCCACCCTGCCTCTCCATGCACTTTCCCAAGCTGCACTAGGGTGAGGAGGCTGCTTCTCAGTTCAGAGCTGCCCCAAGTGGACATCTCTAGCTTCCTTCAAACAACTCTACCATGTTTTTCCAAAAAGGTTGTTACACTAAATGGATAGTATTAGAGGACAGAAGAAACACTAACCCTGAGGTTAGAGAGAAAGATTGTGATGAGATGAAAGAGTCCTAGAATGAGCTGATGAAACAGCAAAAAGCGAGATAACCATCTGCCTTCAATGAAGACTGCCACCAACTTACAACAGCTGACCCAGTGCTCTCTAAGGGAATTCCCAACCCCTGGGTTCTCAGAACCCCCAAAATTGCTCAGTCTGTTCCTTTTCTCTGGATAGAAGGGCTTTCTTCTATCCTTCTCTTTGACTAGGGGGTGGGCAACCAATAGCATGCTGCTCCTAGGCGGAGATGAGTCCCATCTCTAGCTATGTGGCTCAGCCTGTGCACAGCCTTGTGAAGGCATTTACTGGGAAGGAGGAGGAGAATGCTCCCTTGGAAGTTTCTAACAGAAGTAAAGGGCTGTTAAGAGGCCTGGCCCTAGCTTGATGTCCAAGAGCTTCCATCATAGTGCCTGGTTCTTCAGCCCTGCTGTGGGTGAAAAAATTAGAGAAGAGAGCTGATAAACAAGCCTTACCCTTTGCCCGACACTTTCTTAGCTCCCTGTCTTGGATGAAGCCCGCAAACATCTGAGACTCCATAAAAACCTCAAGAAAGCGGCGGATGCTTTTAGAGGCCACAGATTTGCGGAAGGCCTCTCGCTGAAAGGCTCTCTCTCCCTTCTCACTCTGTGTCAGAAAGAGGGAGTAGTGCCCAACGGTCTCCACAAAGAACCGGATAAACACCTCCGACACCAACCCATTGAGGGTATTACATTCTGGAAGGGAAAAGAAAATCTCTGAGGTTCAGGTCAAGAGCCTGCAAAGCCTTCCTCAAATCTTCACCTGGTGTAGTCTTCCTCTCCCCAACAAGACTTCCAGCCAGTACCACTCTTCTGTTCTGGAAGCTCTTTTTGAGACTGAGTTTCACTCTTGTTGCCCAAGTTAGAGTGCAGTGGTGCCATCTCAGCTCACTGCAACCTCCACCTCCCAGGTTCAAGCAATTCTCTTGCCTCAGCCTCCCAAGTAGCTGGGATTACAGGTGCACACCACCACGCCCAGCTAATTTTTCTATTTTTAGTAGAGATGGGGTTTCACCATGTTAGCCAGGCTGGTCTCGAACTCCTGACCTCAGGTGATCCACCCACCTCGGCCTCCCAAAGTGCTGGGATTACAGGCATGAGCCACTGCACCCAGCCTCTGGAAGCTTTCTGTCTTGTGCCCATGGCCTTGTAACTAGCCTACAAGCTGCCGAAGGCCAGAAACTATGTTCTGAACATGGAAATTGAAACATAATTGCTGGATGAATTAAAGTAGAAACCAGAGCACCACTTTTGTCACATCCCTCACCCTAAGTGATTTTTCTGGCTTCCAAGGAAGAGGAAGTTCCTTTCATCTCCTGCAATGGCTTGAGGTAAGGCCTGAGAGGGAGGAATAATTAGTTTCCTGTCAGCAGAAAGTATCTTTGGGGTTGCTACATGTCTTTGGGTTTTCCTTCCCAAACCACCTGGGGTAAAGACGCTAGAGTGAGACCAAGGTCCTCATCAGCCAGAAAGGGTTTGGTGCGCAGAGGCAGAGTTCTGGCCCTATGGGGCCCTGACCCAGAGCAGAGGGAGCCTGGAGCAGAGCTGACCATGCCCGGGCACTATCCTCACCATCGTCGGAGTCACTGTCGGAGTCCTGGGAGATCAGCTCATTCTTCCTCTCCAGAGCCTGCTCCAGAGCTGCCTGTAACTTCCTAGGTAACAATGTGTCCTCGTCGTCCATCTGCAGGAGAAAGAAGGCAGTGACAATCATAGCTGATGCTGAGCTCTTACTGTGTGCTAAGACCTGTTACAAGAGCTTGAGTAGGTAATCTCATTTATCTCTCCCAATAACCCTCATAACTATCATCAACCTCATTTTAAGATGAGGAACTGGAGCACAGAAAGGTTAGGAAACTTGCCCAAGATTACAGAGATTAAAAGTAGTAGAGGGCCAGGCACAGTGGCTCATGCCAGTAATCCCAACACTTTGGGAGGCTGAGCGGGAGGATCACTTGAGCCTAGGAGGGTGTTCGAGACCAGCCTGGGCAATTTAGCAGGTCCCTCTATCTGTAAAACACACACACAAAAAACAATTAGTCAAGTATGGTAGCATGCACCTGTACTCCCAGCTACTTAGGAGGCTGACGTGGGGAGGATCACCTGAGCCCAGGGAGGTCGAGGCTGCAGTGTCATGATTGTACCACTGCACTCCAGCCTGGATGACCATGAGACCCTGTCTCAAAAAAAAAAAAAAAAAAAGGTGGTAGAGCCAGTGGCCTTTGTGACCAGGACTAGCCAGGGGTTCCTGATTAGGTCTCCCCAATTCCTCCATCATCAGCTCTAGGTAGGAGGCACAGTTGGCTTGGGGCAGGGGGACCGTGGCCAGCCTGTGTCTCAGGAATGAAGTTAGACTGCTGTTTCAGTCTCTACACTCTGTTTCTGTGTCCACATCACTATGCCTGGTACCCAGGGAGTCCTCAGCTCCATCACTGGTGTGTAACAGACAGTAAGTACATTTCCATAGGGGAGGCACTGGGTTGTGCTCCTTGGTAGAGAGCCAGGAGGATTTCCACGACTAACAAAGGCTTTTTGTAGTTCACAACAATCATTGCAAACCTGTACGTTACACAACAATCTATAGTTATTTGTGTAACCCCCAGCAACATTTCAAGGCAGGTGTTGTCACCACCTCTGCTTTAGAGCTCAGAGGAATTTAGAGGCCTAAGACCATGTGGCTCAAAACGGGCAAAGTCCAGTGGTCAAGTCTGTGGACTCCCAGGCTGTGTTCTTCAAGTTCCCACACTGCCTTCCAGAAGCTGATGATGCCACTGGAAAGGCAGACCCTGCTGAGGTCAAGGATTCCAAGACTAGCTTCTCCCCACCCTTGACTAGTCTGTGAGTAAGTATGGAACCCAGAGAGCTCAACAAACAGATTGTGAAGGTTGAGTAGTGTGTGTGATGGTGCAGGGTGCTCAGGAGCCTGATTCTAGCAAGCACCCACCCTCTTACCTGTCGGATGAATCGGTCAGATCCCAGATTCACCATCAGCGCCTGAGAAAAGGAGTCATTAGCAGAGTGGCTCAAGGCATGAGTCCCGCAATGCCCTCTGCCAGGTCTCCAGACCTCCCAGGTTCCCAGGGTCAGATAACAGGAAGAACTCCAGCCGGGGATAGACCTCCCAGGGAGAAAGGATAAGAGCCTGGTAAAGAGGCCGAGGGGCCACAAGTAAGATCCCAGCACCTGCTTCCCCTTCCACCCTTCCCCCCAGCTGGTTCCCCGCCGTGGCCCACCTCCTCCACAGGCAGCTCCTTCAGTTTGGGGAGGGAGCTGGAGAGCAGGCCAACCAGGAAGGGGGTGGGACAGCAGACGATGTCAATCATGGAGGCCGGGAGAACAGGAATGAAGGTGTGCTGCCAGGAGAAGGGGTAGAGCAAGGCCACCACCGCGTGGGAGCAGCTGGAGAGGGTACTGATGGGCAGACAGACAGAGAGACAGAGCACCTGAGCCCAGGCCCAGGACCTTAGAGTTCACTGGAGGCTCAGGACAGCCTTTGATCCTAAACCTCCCAGTGCAACAAAAATGCTAATGGGGCTCAGGGACCCTGCAGACTGGTGAAGCCCCCACTTTCCCACTGCATAGTGTCTCAGGGACAACAGTGCTACTCTCAGGGAAATGCACTTACAAACAGCCAGGAAGGTATGCAGCAGCCCGCAGGACAGTCATCTGACAAAGATCTGGAAAAGGGCTGTCTTGGGTTTGGGGGGCACATTACTGGGCCCATGGCTGAGGAGGCAGGAGGTTTTGTAAACCCCTAGGGCCAGTGAATGCAGATCCTGGGTACCCTCTCCCACCCCACATCAGAACTAGGCAAGAGGGACAAAGAACTTGTGGAAAACCTAAATCATCATCAGCGGAACATGAGCTGGCTGGACCTACCCCTCCCCTCTCCAGCCAGAGGCAGACCCCAGGCAGAACAGGAAGGACATCTTTTCCAAGACCCCAAATTGGCAGAACTTGAATACCCGGCCAGGCCAAGAACAAGACCTTGGGATCATCCCTCCCAGAATGGTCCTGGAATGTGCTCAGAGGCAGCTGCAACCACAGGAAACAATAGCTGTATTCACAGCCCCATGGGAGCTGGGCTGGGGGGCGGGGTGGCAAAGAGGAGGCTCAGCCATGCATTAGAGGGTAGAACCTTCAGGAAAAGAAACCTCATGGTCCAGGCTCTCTTAGGGGCCACTAAGGTCAGGCAGGCCAGGGCACCAAAGCCGGGCAGTCAGGGGCTTTGTTGGCTGACAATGACCATGGCTGGCACACAGGAGGGGCCTCTTGGAGCTGCTGTACCTAGCTCATGCCAGCTGTTGGGCTAGATTTCTTCACAGGGGCCTGATGGGCCCACAAAACACCTAGAACTGTGAGACACAGAAGCACTGAGGCTGTGATGGGAACAAGTGAGGGGCAGTTTTCCTTTCTAAACCCTGGCGCTCTATGGAAAAGTCAGCAGCTCTGGTTTTTCTTCCTCCTCTCCTCTCCTGGGCTGAGGATGGGCCTGGGTTCCTGTCCCTATGAGGGCAATCGGGAGTTCATTTCTCGGGCTCCTCTCAACTGCTCCCTGTATATACGGAAGGAAATATCCCAGGGATTCAGGACTTATTGGAGGGCAAACCAGAAGGGGGATTTTCCTTCACTGCCCTCCTCTGAGCACCTGACATTAAGGTGGCTTAATCAATGTCCAGATGACCACTCTAGAGAAGCCACTACTTGGGATGGATTCTTTGACCAAAACAATACGTAACATGTTGCCAATAACCCATCCTGTTGTTGTAGGAGTTATTAAGAAATTATTTTACGCAGAGAGGAAAAGTTTTTGTTTCTTTTTAATTTTTAATTTTTTATTTATTTACTTATTTTGAGACGGAGTCTCACTCCCAGGCTGGAGTACAGTGGCACAATCTCCGCTCACTGCAACCTCCACCTCCCGGATTCAAGCGATTCTCCTGCCTCAGCCTCCTGAGTAGCTGGGACTACAGGCGCCCGCCACCACACCCAGCTAATACAGGGTTTCACCATGTTGGCCAGGATAGTCTCAATCTCTTGACCTTGTGATCTGCCAGTCTCGGCCTCCCAAAGTGCTGGGATTACAGGCGTGAGCCACCGCCTCGTTTCTTTTAAAGCAGCTCAAAAACGTTTCTTGTCTAGAAAGCAAGCCCTGGCTCTTACAGCCAGGCAGGCAACCTTTGATATGCAAACACAGACCATTAGAAATTGGGTCCACCCAACACGGCAATTCTCACCGTTGTCTTCTTGCCCTTGCCCCCACATGTGCCTAGCAGCATGGCTGCCCCGCATATTCCCACATGTGTAGAACATCAGGCACCCTATATTCGCGTATTAAAAGGTGAGGATGGGAGGACCAGCTTTTTCGGGGGCTACATGAGTGACGTGCCAGGTCAAACCAATCCCCTAAGCCCTATGCAAATCAAACACCACCTCCTCCAGCCTACTTATAAAACTGGCTGGTGTCCACAGCACTTGAGGTTCCCTCTCCTGGCTTTGGAGCCTGCCTCCCTCCCTCTGTCTCTGTACTTCTCCTTTCTGCCTTTCTTCTTTCCTTCTTGCCTATTAAACTCTCCGCTCCTTAAAACCGACCCCACGTGTGTCCGTGTCGTTTTATCTAAACCAGCATAAGAACCAAAAGCCCTAGTGTTCCTCCACTCATCGGAGCCATATCACTCTCCCTTGCCTGTGTCACCCCCCAACCACCACTGACATAAAACTTTTTTCTTTTTTAAAGCTTGGCTGTCTAGAAGAGCTCTCACTTCTTCCTTCCTAAAATGCCTCAGGTCCAGTGACCATCACTTCTGCCACCCGTCCCATGGCCACCACCAGACCTTGACACCTCTACCTCTAAAGTCCTAAATGCCAGCATTTCAGACCAAGATTTGTGACCCACCCAGCTTTTTTCTTACTCCTCCTAAACCAGCTCCCCAACTTCCCTGGCACCTCCAGGCCCTGCACATCGTTTCCTGGTGTGGGCTGGCCAGCCTTCCTCACCCACTCTCCTCTCTGCAACTCAATGCCCCCATGGCATCCCTCTCCCCAGCCCTCCCAGTGCCCAGCTCTCAGCCACTGCAGTCGCCTTCTCCAGGGGACACCCTCCACAGGACCCTCACTGGCTGGCTCAGCACTCCTCACACTGTCCCCAGTCAGTGCTCTTGCCCCTTCCTCACAGCGGCTCTTTCCTTAAACTCAGCATCCCATTGAGATGGCTTTGCCTCCCCTTCCAGAAGAAATGCAACCATCCGCCAAAAATCTCAATTTCTTAACGTTTCCCCTGTACATATACTGCCATCTGCACAGTCTTGGCTGTTGCAAAGGAAGAAATGTCCCTCCCTCTTCCCTCAGGCCAAGCCCTCCACAGGGTTCTCAATCCCGCCATCTGTGTGCTCCCAAACCCTTCTCCCTCACCCACACAGGGGTGCTACCTTTCCACCTAGTCTTTATCTCCCTACGCACAGCCCCACTCCAGCACCAGCCAGCAAGTGCTTAGGCTCCTGAACACTTACTGATTCGCTTGTGGGCGTGCTTTCCCCTCCCCTCTTCTTCCTTGCCCAGCTGGGCCCTACCTGAGCTTATCTGCCACAAAAATGACCCGGCGCTCCAGCAACAGCGAGGCAAAGATTCGGATGAGCTGGCGCACACTGAGGCAGGTAAAAAGGCACTCAAAGTCCACGTGCTCCAGCCGTGAGTCCATGGGCCGCCGCAGCTCTAACACCTGCAGGAGAGCGATGGGAAAGTGGGCCTGGGCCAGCCAGGTGGGTGCTGCCCTCCGGCCCTCCACGAAGCAACTGGAGGCTGCTTTCCCCTTCCCACCTGCTCTTTTCCAGGTCTCTCGCCTATCCTGCTATGCAGTAAACCTCTCTCCTCCACCCCTCAGACTACAGCTCTGCTCTCATAGCACTTGAACACCCAGGCTGTGGGTGAGAGGGCTGCCTGTGAAAGAGGGGAAGGATCCAGAAGGAAGGAGTTGAGGGACTATCCATCGGGACCTCAGGAAGAGAGGAGAGCTGACTGCTCTTAGAGATAGGGAGAAGCAGGGAACCACACAGCCACATCTCTAGGGTCCTCCTGCCCACCTCCCCAGACAAAGGTCTAAGCCCTTAATGCTGACTAGACCCCGCTGCTCTCCAGGCATCTCTGCATCCCAGGACTCTAATCCCAGCCACCTCTGGAAAGGCAATGCTGGTGTCCTTGTTGCCCTGTCCCCCTCCCTTTCCTGCTAGAAAGAGTTTCCTTCCAGAGGCTATTTGTCCTGCCATCCTGGCCTTTATCTCCATCACCCTAAGTCCTGTGCCAGGCACAAAGAAAACACAAGCAAAGGGCTGGCCATTCTGCAACCTTGCCACGAAGCAGGACTGTCTTATCAGGGCTAGGCCTAGCCTTCTTTCCTCCAAAGGCGGCTCCCAAGGTCAGTGCCACAGCTCAGAGAGCCACTTCTCTGGGGGCAGTCACGGGGGTGGAAGGTAGCGAGTGACCCCAGTGGTGAGGGCAGGAGGAACTGCTGACGCTCAGGCTGTGCCAAAGCAGCTGTCCCTGGGGTCTGCTTGGCCTCATCCTTGGTCCCACAGCGTGTGTGTGCAGCATAGATGTGAAGGCCTCCTGAAAACTAGGGTGAGAAACCAGTTCTCTCTCATTGCCCGATGGCATCAAAGGTAATGCTTTACAAGGAGTTTTTATACCCACATCATCTCATTTGTTCCTCAGAGTCTAAGCAAGTGAAGGCGTTCTGATTCCTAACTCAGCATCCATCCTTCTGGGCCCCAGAGAAGCAGCAAAGTGGGCACAGGGTACAGTAGCGGTCTGTGTCCACTGTCTCTCCCACCTGATGGTGTACTCCTGGAAGGCCCGGTGATCCGCCAGATGCTGGGTACACCCCAAATGGTCAGTGAATGTGGGCTCAAGGAAAGAAGTACCACAATGATGCCAGAGCCCTTTATACCTGCTCCAGGCCCTGTCCCCGCCCCAGAAGTCACAAGCTCCCTGCATGCAGCCCAATAGACTCTGCTCTCTAGCACCCAGCCCCCTACTGTCTCTGGGGCCCAACCCTCCCCCTTCCCCCAGGGATTGAGAATTCACACAGGCTGCTCCCACTCCCGGCCTTGTTCCATGCATCCCTGCCTTCAAGGAGATCAGGCCCAGGGGTCTGAAGAAACCGAGCAGTTACAGTCTGGGAGTCCAGTGGGTGTGACCAACATCTGCACAGGGACAGGCAGGACATCTAGGAGGGCAGCCAAGCTCATGTGCGTGGGGAGGGGGTCAGGGAAGCCTTTCAGAGCACAAGGTACTTGACTCCCCAAAGAGAAAAGAAGGGAAGTGTCTTCTAGGCAAAAGGAAGTAGGGTTGAGGGAAGAGTAAGTATCAAGTCAGAAGATGAGAGCCCAGTGAGGTGGCCAGTGCCAGACCACGAAGAGCTCCCAGGCATGATGCTGGGCTATAAGGGAAGGGTCACCTATCCTGTGCCCCACAGCCACCACAAAGCCTAAAGTTCCTCTAAATGAAAGGGAGAAAAGAGGCGAGGAGAAAGCCCTCAAGCTAGGAGTTGCCACTGCTCAGCAAGTATGCTTTTTTGGTCAGTCCTTCTCCCATTCTCTACAACTAATTTATTTACTCTTCCCTCTCCTAGAACCCAACATCCACCTCTTACTCTCAAAGAATGACCTTTTATATATATATATATATTTGTGGGGTTTTTTTTGTTTTTTTTTGAGATGGAGTCTCGCTTTGTCACCCAGGCTGGAGTGCAGTGGCGCGATCTTGGCTCCCTGCAACCTTCACCTCCCAGGTTCAAGAGATTCTCCTGCCTCAGTCTCCTGAGTGGCTAGGATTACAGGCATGCACCACCACACCTGGCTATTTTTTTTTTTTTTTTTGTATTTTTGGAAGAGACGGGGTTTCAACATATTGGCCAGGCTGTTCTCAAACTCTGGACCTCAAGTGATCCCCCCACCTCAGCCTCCCGATGTGCTGGGATTACAAGCATGAGCCACTGTGCCTGGTGTGACCTTTTCTATTTTGAGAAAATCAAAGCCATCAGATGAGAATCCAAAATCTACTAAGCCACAACCTCCTCTCCTAATAAATGCCAAGCCCTCCATGGAGCCTAACACTCACATCTTCTCAGTACACTCTGTTAGCCCCTCCTCCTCCTGTAGCTTGAACCTCTTCCTCTGGCAGCCATTTCCACCAGCATACAAACAACCATCCCTAACAAGCTTCCCTAGTTCCACATTTCAGTTGCTGCCCTCTTCCCTATTTTTCTCCACAGCCATGCAATCTTGAGAAGATGTCTACACAGGCTGTTTCCACTTCCTCACCCCCATCACTTCTCAACTCACTCCAGCCCAACTTCTGGGCCCTGCACTTGTCAAGATCTTCCACACCTCATCCTGATCTCTTAGTGGTACCTGCTTCAGATCATGGCTTCCTTTTTGAGGTGCTCCTCAGCCGAAGCCCTCCCCTGGTGTTCCCCTCTCCTCAGACTTCAGGGCTGTGGCTCCTCTCCTGCAGGGCCTCTGCATGCTGGGGTTCCCCAGGACTGAGGAGGACTCCATACTGGGCTCTCTTCTCTTCCCTATTTACACTCTTTGCTACTACATATCTTCTATTGGGGGTCTCACGGGCATCTCAAACTTGACATGTACATATTTGGACTCTTCCTCCTCATTATCTGCTTCTCCTTCACGAGCTCCCATCTCAGTACATGGCTCCATCATCTACCCTGGGGCTCCAGCCAGAAAACTGGGAGTCAGCCTTACAGTCTCTGTGACAACTACGCCCTATTTCCAATCAAACACAAAGTGCTACTGGTCCTAATTCTAAAATCCATCTACTTCCCTTCTTCTACCACATCTTAATCCAAAGCTGCCATCATCTCTTGCCTGTAGTGCCGCAACAGTATCCCTGCTGGTCTCCCCGTTTTCACTCCAACCATTAGCTACACGGCTGCCACAGTGGGCTTTGAATACATGTATCAGCTGGCCACAGGTGGCTCATGCCTGTAGTCCCTACAGTTTGGGAGGCAGAGGTGGGAGGATTGCTTGAGTCCAGGAGTTCAAGACCAGCCTGGGAAACATGGTGAAACCCTGTCTCTATAGAAAATACAAAAGTCAGCTGGGTATGGTGGTGCACGCTTGTAGTCCCAGCTACTCAGGAGGCTGAAGTGGGAGAATTGCTTGAGCCTGGGAGGGTGAGGCTGCAGTGAGCCATGATAGCACCACTGCACTCCAGCACCAGTGCACAATATGGGCGGCAGAGTGAGACCCTGTCTCAAAAAAATAAAATGAAAACATATATCAGATCTTATCATACCCCTGCTTTAGATAAAATCCACAAATCCTTAACTTGGCCTAGCAGGGACGTCGTGATTGGGTTCTTGCCTGCCAACCCACTCCCCTACCCCTACCCCGTCAACCCTCTGACCAGCACATGCACTTGCCCAACTTTTGCCTTTGCAGATGCTGGTTCCTCTACTTGGAATAATCTTCTCCCATTCATATCCTTCTCTTTCCGTCTCCCTCCTCCTGCTTCATTTAGTTGCCCCCACTCACCACTTAGGTCTCTGGTCAAGTGTTACTTTCTCAGAGGAGACCTTCCCTGGCCCCTAATTTAAAGCAGAACCCTTGTTCCACACTCTCATAAGGTCCTGTGCTTTCACTTGGCTCATAACACATTTAGGAATTATCTATTTATACGTAAAAGTGTTTACTATAATATCAGTATCTCCCACTAGACTACAAACTTCATGAGGACAGAGAAGTGTCCCTCTAACTCTGACTCTGCTCTGAGGTCTGGCACAATCTCTGACTGTGAGATGGCACACATTCAGTAACTGTTCGATGAATGAACAAAAGGAAGGCAGATGGAATGCAGTTTAGTCCAAATGGGTCAAGGAAGGCCCCTGGGAGGAGCAGAAGGCTGGACAACATGTACATTCCTATTGTTCGCTGTTGTGGTCCCTTGTGATTGGGTACACTGACATGGTTGAGCAAGGAGGAGCCGTGCTCTGCACCCCTCAAAGACTATGACCTTGGCTAGTGTGGTCCTCCTGCCACCCCAGCCCGTAGCCCAAGAGAAGAGGGTGCAGAAATCCTTACCTCATTGCCAGCACCTGGCAGGAATGTCTTCACTTTGATGGTCTTCCCTGGGGCTGGGAAGGGCGACTCCATGAGACTTCTCATGAAAGGATAGACCAATGCCGCGGAGATCCCACGCCGGCGCTCCACCTCATCTAGGACCTGTGCCCACCGCCAGCAGCCCAAAAAGGAAGGGTGTCAGGGCAGTGCCCTTCCCCCCGCCCCGGCAGAGAAGAGGGCAGCCAAGCATCTGACCAGGCTGGCCCAGAAGCTGGCAGATGGGAAGGCGGTCTTGCCAGGATCTGCACACTCTACCCTTCCCGTTTTCCTTGGCACTCAGTGATTCCTCTGTTCCTTAACTGGCCTTGCTTCAGTCCCCAAGAGCAGAGTAGCTGGGCAAAGGAAATACCACCCAAGAGTCAGCTCCCTGGGTGCTCCTGCTTCCCCAAGGACTCTGGCTCTGCCCAGGGCCCAGGGTGGGCTGTGACGGGGCAGACACTGCCAGCACAGGAGCTGGGGAAATGCCAGCCGGCTGGGTAGAGGGCCAGGCTGGGGAATGGGAGGGCGTCACAGAGCTCACTGGTACTTGCTCCTGCATTCTGTCTCCCGCTTGCTCACACTCACAGGTGGTTTTCTCATCTAAGCTGGCTGCAGATACTCCTGTGGGAGCTGTCAGCTGGGGGAGGGGGAGGAAAGCCTGCCAGAGCCTCTTACCTTGGAAAACAAGCCGAAGCAGCCAAGGCGGCTGATGACACAGTACACCTCTGGCAACCGGGGCCCTTTCCCACTTGGCTGGGCCAGGACAAGGAGGAGGAGGAGAGAGACAGACACAGAGAATGCATGATTACCATTTCTGGCTCCTTTTCCTTGGGAACTGAGGAGTAAGGACTGCGCTTCTAGTGGAGGAAGACTCTTAAGCCTCCTCTAAACCTCTCTGCAACCAGGGCCCTGAAGGAAAAGCCACCACTCTCAGGACAGGCCTCAGCTCTGCAGGGTCTCCCAGCACCAGGTACCAGGCTCCTGCCAGACTCCACACAGGCTCTGCCCTTCCTCCCAGGAGGACGCTGACAGGGGCTGGCAAAGGGCAAAGCAGTTTGGCAGAGGCTACAGGGTGATCGGTGGATTCATATCCCTGAGGCTGGGACCCCAGCAGATGGGAAGGACTAGGGTACATCCTTAGGAGCAAGCCATTGTAGCTTTTTAGTCCCATAGGGCATATTCGGCATAACATTCTTTTTTTGGTTCTTTTCCCCCTTTCTTGATCCACCTCCATTGTAAGAGAGCAAACTGAAAACAAGAGATGGGAGCTACAATTTATTGAACATTTGCTATACCTGACTTGGAACTCTACAAGAGATTTGTGAGACGGGGATTATTATCCCCTTCATAGATGAGGCAACTGAGTTCAAAAAGATTAAGCCATTGCCTAAGACCACCTATCTAGAAGCTGTGGAGCCAGGAGTTTGCTTTGGCCCTGTTTGGCTGTCTTACCCCTAAAGCCTGCTGCTTTCTGACAGGAAGGAAAGGAAACAAAGACAATTGGTAGAGGTTTGCTATGGAGTAAAGGAGCACAAAGAAGAACAGGACTTAAAAGGTGGGCATGGCTGGGCATGGTGGTTCACGCCTGTAATTCCAGCACTTTGGGAGGCCGAGGCAGGTGGATCACCTGAGATTGGGAGACCAGCCTGACCAACATGGAGAAATCCCATCTCCACTAAAAATACGACATTAGCCGGGCGTGGTGGCGTATCCCTGTAATCCCAGCTACTTAGGAGGCTAAAGCAGGAGAATTGCTTGATCCCGGGAGGTGGAGGTTGCGGTAAGCTGAGATCACGCCATTGTACTTCCAGCCTGGGCAACAAGAGTGAAACTCCGTCTCAAAAAAAAAAAAAAAAAGGTGGGTAGCTGAAGGGGAGACAGGCACTGAGAGCTCCCAGGCCCAGAGCCCCCATGCAGGCTTCAGTGCCTTCTCCAGCAGGGCTCAGAGGCCTGGAGGGCCTGGCAAGTCCGAGTCGGGAGGGAGCAGAGCAGCAGGTGCTGGCCCCTCATGCAGGCTGCTAAGCAAATGCAGATGGGGCTATTTCAGTCTCCAAACCTGCTGGCCACACGTCACAGATCTAGAGAAGGCAGAATCTGTTTTTGTCCATATTAGGCCTGAAACTCACTCCTGTCTCTTTCCCTCTCCCCCGCCTCCCCTAAAGCCCCAAGTGATTAAATCAAGTATGTGGGATTTGGGTTAGAATCATTGTGTCCAATCTGCAGGAATGCCGAGCTAGTGCCAGCCCCCTTGGCAGGGACCCAGCCCAGGCCCTCTCTGAGCACGCCAGGACAAACACGCTCTTCCCTGGGGGCAGCAGCCCCACTGCAAAGGAGCAGCTCTGCTGCATCTATGTTCCAGCAAAGGCAGCCTTCGCAACACTCCTTCCAAGCCCAGGAGGCCCAGGCGGCCAGAAGCTTGCTGGCCTCTGCCTGGCTGACCACCTGGCATTGCTCCTGTGCATATGCCCTTCACCCCTCCCTGGGCACTCTACCTCCCAACACCCCCTCTCCCCATCCATCCTCTGGGGGTGATCCAAGAGTACCAGATTGGTGACAAACGACTTCCCTTCTGGTTCTGTGTGACCTTGGGCAAGTCATTCTACCTCTGAGTTTTGACTTCCCAATCTATGGATCAGGGATAATAATGGGCTATTGTGATCATTTTTTTAAAAAGACATACTTGAAGCATCTAGCTTGGAATGTGACAGGTTCTAAACAATGTCTATTCCCTTGGCCTTTCTCTCCTGTGTTGAAAGTCCAATCTCCTGTAACAGGCCATCTAAAGTTCCTCGAGAGAAGATCCATGTTAAACTCATCTTTATATGCCTTTAGCACATGCCTGACTCTCAACAGGTCAGGGCTTCTGATAAGGGATGATAAGTGTTTCTGAATGAATGAATGACTGGCCTCAAATCCTTCCTTCAGGGCTCCTGCCCCCTTCATCTACTCCTAGACTGGTATCTGGGGAGGCTTTCTCTTGCTAAGGCCTGGAAACCCCAAAACATTGTCAACAACCCAGTGCTCCAAGCGAGGAGTGCAGCAGGGGCCAGGTTCTGGGCCTCTACCTTAATCTATTTCCCAGGACTAATGGGAATGGAGATGGTGAAGGACTTCTTTTTACAAAATGGCTAACATTTTCAAAACCCAATCCCTTTCCCCTAGATTCAAGGTATCTCTCTCAGATTCCCAGAGAAGATATGTCACTGTCCCTTCCCAATCTCCAGCCCTACCACACCACAGACAGGCCTCCTCCCCACTACAGCCTGGCCAGGTATGGAGGTGAGGAAGGTTGTCCCTCACCTAATCTGATGCATATATACATACTGCTGGGGGTGATTCGATCCCGCAACCAGAGACCAGCAATCAGAGCCCACGATCCCAAGGGAAATGAAGAAAAAGTAGAAAAAAACTAAAAAGACACAAAAACCCACTCCCTCCCCTTATTCCAGATAATCTCCGATCCTAAGGCCCCCTCAGAAGCACCACTCTGAGCCCTGCTCTCCCAGGGTGGCCTCACCTGTGAAAATGTGTGTGTTGGCAGGGGGTTGGGGGTGGCCTCAGGGAGCAGAACATAGGATTTCATACAAGCTAAAGTTGCAGAAGGGCACACACACACACAAACACACACACCCTGACCTAGCCCCTGCCTGCCAGCCTGAGGACCAAATGGCCTCACTCACCAGTAAGCGCCTGCAGTAGCCAAAGCGTCTGCTGCCGTCTTCCCCAGTCAGCATGAAAGAAAAGGTCTCACTGGAACAAAGAGAGGTCTGGCGTCAGGGAGGTGTGAAAGGACCTAGGAAACAGCCCCCAAGAATAGGGACCGTCATCTTCAGGGTTGGGTGAAGGGCCAGGTTGCTGTAGGAGAGGAGGATGAGACTAGAGCAGGCCCCACTCAGGTGCCCACTGCTATGGGGGTAAAGAAGGCTATGCCCCTTCCTCCCTCCGGTCAGGCCAGGCCTCACCTGCTATACTCTGACACAGGGAGCCAGTCCTTGGCATCAGGGAAGCAAAACTGGGGAATGGCTTTGAGCCTTTCCTCTGCCTCTCGCATCTGCTTGGTGGGTCGGTCCAGCTGCAGGGAAGAAGGAACCAGGAGATGACACGGAACCTGAGGGCAGGTGGTGGTGGCTGAGAAACCCCTCCTCCCGAGGACCCTAGATGCCACTGACCAGTGGGCATGATCTCAGCAACCGTTGTCCCACTCCGAATTCTTACAGAGCCCTGAGTTATCATTCATTCATTCAATAAATGCCAGCGGAGTGCTTTCTGTATGGCATCTGACACAGTGCTGTGCGCCAGGGCTCTTGGCTCTCGACGGAAAACAAAGGGGACAAGGTCCCCGACCCTGCACATTCTGGTCAGCAGAGTGAGCTGCTCAACCACAACATCTCAGAGTGGGGCTTAAAAAAAAAATAAGCAGGGTGGCCAGGCGTGGTGGTTCATGCCTGTTATCCCAGCACTTTGGGAGGTCGAGACGGGCGGATCACCTGAGGTTGAGAGTTCGAGACCAGCCTGACCAACATGGAGAAACCCCGTCGCTACTAAAAATACAAAATTAGCCAGGAGTGGTGGCGCATGCCTGTAATCCCAGCTACTTGGGAGGCTGAGGCAGGAGAATCGCTTGAACCCAGGAGGCAGAGGCTGCAGTGAGCCGAGATCGCGCCATTGCACTCCAGCCTGCGCAACAAGAGTGAAACTCTGCCTCAAATAAATAAATAAATAATAAGCAGGGTGATGTAACAGAGCAAGCTGGGTAGGGGAGGGGCTCCATGCAGGCGTCTGGACAGACCTCCTGAAAGAGGTCCTACTTGAGCAGAGCCTGAGAAATGAGAAGGAACCAGCAGCCATGTGAAGAGCTGGAGAAAGCACATTCCTGGCAGAGGCAATGGCAGAGAGAGAGGGGTTGAGTGTGAGAGGAAGAAGAGGGAGGCCAGGCTGGCTGGCAACAAGCAGGGAAGGCAGAGTGAGAGACAGGCTAGTGGGAGAAGTGTGGAGTGACAGCTAGTGGGTGCAGAGTTTCTCTTTGGGCTGATAAAAATGTTCTAAAATTGGTAAGTGGTGATTGCACAATTCTGTGAATACACCCGAACACTGAACTGTATACATTAAGTGGGTGAACTGTATGGTATTCAATCGTTTTGGATTTTATTCTAAGCACACTGAGAGGTTCTCTCTCAGCCCTCATCCTTTGAACAAGCACTGGCCCAAACCCACCCCCGCTGCAGCCCTGTCTTCCCTCCTGGCCGAGAGGAGGCAGGTTCAGGGCTGTGGCAGCTCAGTGAGGAGGTATGACGAACAAGATCTCTCTCCTTCCCCAAATAGGCCTGGCGGATAGAGGATGGAAGAGGGGAAATATGGGCAAGGTTGGGAGAGAGAGGGCCTCACCTTGGGAAACTGGTAGGAGACTTCGGGGAGGTAGGTGTTTCGCGATGGCTTCTTCTTGAGGGACACCACCACAAAGTACTCGAAAAGCTCCCGCTCCTGCCACTCCAGCAGCTCCAGCTCCAGCGTGCGATAGCTGGGCGCGCGCTTCAGCATCGACTGGATGTGGACCAGGCGCTGTGTGTGGGCTGGAGGCAGGTTGCACATCAGGGAATGGACCCTCACAGGCCTTATGTTAGCTCCTCTACCCCTGGCTCAGGGCTCCATCACTGTGGAGCACTTTTAAGGGCATAAGCCTAGTCTGATACCATCCCCAGTTTGCAGTGCGGGAGGACTGGCAGGCACAAGGTGCTGACCCCTGCACAAAGACTCTGCCCTGACACAGGAGGCTGCGGGCCTGGTCCTCCTGGAGCGTCCGGAGACTGAGCTGGGGCAGGAGGACTGCCGAGGCCAGGCAAACCCAGGGATGCATCTTGGCACCCACTCTGTCCCTGTACCAAAAGGACCAGAATACATGAACATCCACAAAGGCTTCATCCCTGGGCCCCTAGCAGTACTTGAGCCTTGTCCGTGCTCCTACATCCAAAGTCTACTTGCCATTTGCCTGGGGATGAGAGGATAATCATCCAGGAAGGCCTAGGCAGGGTTTCCCAGTAGAGAAAGCACAAAGATTTATCCAAGGACCCTGGAATGTGAAGGTTCCAGAACCTTTTCAGGCTCCTCTCCGGGGAGAGGGGAGATGGGGGGCGGGGCTGCAGGGCCTCCAGAGAAACAGTTTCTTCAGTCTAAGGCACATTTCTTGCCAGAAGAGGTCCTTGTAATCTTCTGTACCCATCTCTCACCCTCCGGATCTACAACCTTTTTTTTTTTTTTGAAACGGAGTCTTGCTCTGTCTTCCAGGCTAGAGTGCAGTGGCCTGATCTCAGTCAGCTCACTGCAACCTCCGCCTCCCAGGTTCAAGTGATTCTCCTGCCTCAGCCTCCCGAGTAGCTGGGATTACACATGCCCACCACCGTGCCTGGCTAATTTTTGTATTTTTTTTTTAGTAAAGATGGGTTTTCACCATCTTAGCCAGGCTGGTCTCAAACTCCTGACCTCATGATCTGCCCGCCTCGGCCTCCCAAAGTGCTGGGATTACAGGCGTGACCCACCGCGCCCAGCTGAGATCTACAACATTTACCAGGCAAATCTAGCACCCAATTCCCATGGACAATGGCTTGGGACAGTTTGGGCAGGGCTCCACCCTTACATCTGGCAAAGAGAGACATCTGGATTTAACCTTACAGGGCTGAGCTCACATGTCTATAAGGACAGACTTCCCTGTGGCTCCTGCTCTGTTGTTCTGGTATCTGGCCTGTCTGTCGCCTCTCCACATCAGGCCAGTTAGGGACACTGGAGCCACACATGCATCGGCAGAGAAGGCTGATTCCCTGCAGCCCTGCTGGGAGAGCTTCTGTGCTCGTGGGAGCTGTGCCTCACCTTTGAACCTGTCATCAGAGTCGCTCTCGCTCTCACTGTTTTCATCTGGAAAAGGAACAGCAGAGTACATACTTGCTGGACCCCACAGCCAATGTTTTCTGCTCCCCTACCACCCCAACTTTTCTCACAGGGGATGGTCTCTACCTTCTCTGGGCCCATGGTCAGGCATCCTGCCTCCAGGAGGCCAAGATTTGAAATGGGAAACAGACTGCAATGCTCAGTGAGTCTGGCCTTTCCTTTTGCAGAAACCGATTCCCACACCCACCTCCCTACTAAGGCCCTCACAGCCCAAAGTCTGAAGGAACCCATCCCAGACCTTTCTTCCCTCTCTGTTCCTCCCTCCTATGTGGCCGTTTCCTGGCAGGGCTCTACCCTCCACAGGCAAATTGATGCCTCTCCCATTCCTAATGCCCAAGGGCCCCAGACACCTGAACCAGCTCCGGCACCAAAGCCTACCTCTCAGTGATGCTGTTTCAATGCTGGACATAGACAACTTTTTTAATCTCTTCTTTCCTCTCTTGGCATTGTAAATGGAGTTAATTCTTTGGACAAGCTGGGTGAGAAAAGCAGGGCGGGTGAGGTAACCTTAACACCAGCTGCCCCACTTCCAAGAAGGCTAAGTAGGAGCTCATCCCTGCCCTTAATGGTACAAGATTTCTGCATTGCACCCGCTGGGTCCAGGACTGGTCTAACTGCAGAACCGACCCCAAGTGGTGACTCACCAGCCATGCCTGGTAGCTCTCCATACACCTAGTCCCCCAGCAGTGGTCTCCTGCCCCAACACAAGGACACTAAACTTAGCTCCCCAGAGGAAGGAACTGTGATCAAACTAGACAGGATGGTAGCTCCTGGGTCCCAAGAGTCATTGAACCAACTGAGACAAAGAGCTTCTGAGATGCAATAACAGGAACAAGGATTCTAGCCTTTCCCCTCTGGGCCATAACCTGGGGCCCCGACAGGAAGAATCTAAATTCCCAATATACCCAAGCATTGTTTGCAGACTAAAAATACCATCTGGCTAAATCCTGCTGCTTTGGGCCGGGGATTTGGGCCTGGCTGCCTATGTGTGAAAATCATTGCTGAAAACTCTTCAATGCTGTGAGTTATAGGAAGAACCCTTGTTTGAGTCCTAGGTCCTTGAAAGCCTGGAAATGCTTATGTGTGCAGATACCCCAAAATTCATACACCACACTTACTAATGGAGAGCCTTGGCTAGCCTTTCCTTCCTCTAACATCTGAGCACCAAGAATCAGTTAACGCATCTTTATCAATAAGAAAGGATAATTAATCAGATGAAAAAGAGGCCAGTGCACAGACCCAGAATTTATTCAAAGGGAATCGAGGAAGCAGTCCAGATTAGGGAAGGAAGGAAACTAGGAAGGAGAGAGAAAGGCTGGCTGCCTGCCCGCCCACCTGCCCAGCCCCAGTGGGCTGCCTCTGGGGAGGGTACCTTGGGAATGCGGCGGGCCCGGCGGCTAGACAGCAGCTCGCTGGTGGTGCTGAGGCTGTCTTCGTTGAGGCTGGAGGGTGAGGACGGCAGGCTCAGCTGAGCCAGCAGCAGCATGTCGTCATGGCTGTGCCTCTTGGGTAATCGTGGCAGCCGGTGGCTCTTCCTTTCTGACCAGTTCCCACTGCGCAGGGACTGGCTGTTGGGTTTCAGGGAAAGCTGGCATGGGGGAGAGGACATGTGAGAGGGGCTCGCCACAGAGGCCTTGGCCGGTGCCTCTCGGCTGGGATGGGGACACAGAGGCCAAGGGCTGGTATCCCTGGCTCCCCACAATCTTGCCCTGGAATTTCCATATCTCTCTTAAGACTTTAACTACTAATCAGCCAGGTCAGGGCTAGATTAGATACTTGCCTTCCCTAAAGGAAGCTTCACTACTGCCAGCAAAAAATGAAAGCAGAGGCTAAAAACACCTGTGCTCTTATCTGAATGGAACAAAAAGGCAAAGTGGGAATTTTGGGGGCTCCTCCTGAGCTTTGGGACAAGGATTACTGGGTCTGGGTGATGCAGCCAGTCTTCCAGACCTCTGCCCCTTAGCCAATCCTAAAAGGTTTCAGACAGCAGAGGCCATAACCTAATGGCCAGCCTGCTGGGCTGGGAGATCCTGCAGCCTGGCCCTCCTAACTGCTCCCATGGAGAACACAGGGGCTCTGGGCTCTGAACACCAAAGCTGGGCCAGGCAGGTCTCACACTGAATTGGCTCCCACATTCACAAGGCCCTGACTGCCCTCTTCCCAGCCCTGATCTACTCTCTGCCTCTCGCCATGTGCGCTGACCTCTCAGCCAAGGGCACCATCCTTGTTGTGGACCCTGTGGGGAGGCAAGTATCCCACAGACACCCAACCACTGTCTGGTTCTGGAATTGCCTCTCCTCACTCTTCAGCAAATCCTCCTTCCTCCACAGCCCCCAATTTCCTGTTCTCACCCAAATCAGTCCTGGCAATCCATAACTCAGAGTAGCCTGTTTTTGAACACGAGGCCCGTAATAAGGGGTAAATCTTTTTTTTTCTTTTCTTTTGAGAACGGAGGTCTCACTCTGCTCACCCAGGCCCCCCAGGCCAGTGCAGTGCGTGGATCTTGGCCTTACTCGCCAACTCCGCCTCCCGGGTTCAAGCAACTTCTCCTGCCCCAGCCCTTCCCAAGGTAACTGGAAACTACAGGCAGGCGCCTAACTATGTCCCGCTAAAATGTATTGTATTTTTAGTAGAGATCGGAAGCTTTCCCACTGGCCCCAAGCTGGCCCTCGAACGTCCTGAACCTCAGCATGAATCCGCCCACCTCCGGTCCAAGAAGTTGCTGGGTTACATGTGTGAGCGCCACCACCTCCCAGCTATGGGGGTTTTCAAATCTTTTATTAAAAACCAAACACCTTATTCCAAAGCCAAGAAGAATCCAATTTTCATATTACTCTGGCCAATTGCTCAAATTACAGATCCTTCCATTTGCAAAGAATACAATTAGTTCACCCTGGGGTAGGTCACGAAGAAGCCTCTCGTCCACCCTGCCTCTTGTCATCCCTGGACAAGGGACCATGAAGACACTTTGAGCTCCACAGAGCCTATTCCCTTTTTGGCTTTCAACCTTTCCTTCATTCTTCCTTTCGCCCCAAATCCATGTTTAAAGACTTCTCGGCTTCACTCCTCACCAAACAAATTCCATAAGGAGGTGGCCCTCCAGGTGTCACAGACCATCCATGCCCTGGCTCTCCAATGTGGTTTTGGGCTACAAACTAGGCCCCCCTACAATCCGCCAAGCGTAACTCCGCCGAGATGACTTCCTGGCAAAGTTCAGCAATGCAAAGGACTCCACTAGGCCTGCCTTTCCCGTTTCCAAAAAAAAACACCAGGCTGACACGGAGAAACTGGCGGCTCCTTGGCTGGTTAACACAAACAGAAAGCTTGTGTAAAAAACAGATAACAGGAAAAGACCCTCGGGGCCAGGGATCCCGAGTTTTACGATATGGTGATGTAAACATGAGTGCAGACTCAATAGCACAAAAGAGAACCCTTCCTTTTTATTATACGTGAAGCCACCCTCGCCCCCATGGAACGGCAAAAAACACAGGCTTCACAACTAACCTATATATATAGGAAAAAAAAAAACACAATGTCGGAAAGGCTGAGGTTATGGTAAAAATAGAGCTGTAAAAACATCTCCCTGTCCCCTGGACGGGAACCCACCATCTGTGCAAAGAGTCCAAGGAGTTCTCAGCCAGTTGCTGGGATTTTCCGTTCCTGCTCTTCCGGTCTTTAAGTCCACATCTCCATAATGGATTTCTCCTTGGGCCAGACTTCTCCTGCCCAGAGAGGAAGAAGCTTAAGAAAGGGGAGACAGGGAACGAACGGAAACACACAAACTCGCACCACACAACAAATACAACAAGCAGGAATTCCCTGTGGGAACCAAAGAGGAATGGCCTTTCCTGCCTGGCCCCTCCAGGCTTCCAATGGATCAGCAGCCTGCCCGCCTGGCAGTGGGAGGCCTACGAAACAGCGATCCTCGGCTCCAAGTCCAGCAGCAGAGCACCCCCGCCGGCCGCCCCAACCACCAGCCAGCCTCAGCCTGGCCTCTGCTTTATTAAAATTCAGGGGATTCTGCAACAAGAACTGTCACCACCCCATGCCTGTGCCAAGCCCAGAGGACCAAAGGGCCCCAGCAACCAAGAGTCCTTCCTTTGGGCTCCCTTTCCCTCCTGCTGCCAAACCACCCCAAAGAACAACAGTCAAGGTAAGGAAGGGTTTTCAGGGTCACATGGCTGTCCTTCCACCCAAATGGCCAGGGGGAATCTCCCTGGACTCGCTACTTTTGGAGGGTGGGCAAATCCGAGGAACTCAACACAACTGCAAAGAGCAGAGCTTCACCAGGCCCCCCTTCTCACCTACAGTGCCATTCAACAAGTCTCTTAGGGCAGGGTTTTGTGTTGTTCACTGAGGCAACCTTGGAACGGAACAGTGATTAGCAAGGAGGAAGTGTTCGGTAATGATCTGTTCAATGACTCTCCTACTGTAGTGTGTCTATTCCCTCTACCGCTGATCTCAGCAAAAAGAGAACCATCAACACTCCCCTTTTGGAATAAACTCTCCTGCTGTGACACAGGGGAGGTATGAAAGGCTTGGAAGGAGTCTGGGCCAAAGGATGGGGGTGAGGGGAGTTCTTGCTTCTCAGGACTAGTTCTAAAATCTCTGGCAGCGGGCACTGTATTGGCATTACCAGAAAATCTCAGAGAAGTCCAAAACACAATCCCTGCCCTTCAAAATGTTGAGTGGCACTCCTTTCCACAAGCTGTATCTCCTGCCCCGACCCCTACAACATACACCTTTTCTAAAATACAGTAACAACATGGGCCGGGTCAGTCCTAACTTGATCCTGGTGGCAGAATCCATGGGGTGAACAGGTCCCTGGGGAACTCAGAACACAGCCCTCTCTGTACCCCTTTCCCCATCTTCCTGCTGCAGAGCAGGACTCACTCCAGCACCTCTGCTCAGCAGCAGGATTGAGCCTGGGTGACCACCGAGTCCCACACTTGTCCTACAGATGTCTGAATGTCCCTTACGCCCCAGAGGAACTCAGACCCCACTCCTCAGGAAGCAGGCAGAAGGAGGAGCTGGAGGACGAGAAACAAAGGCTGCCGAGAGTGAAGCTTTCCTAGAGAGGGCACAGGAGAAGAGCCAACCCCTATATGCTTGCAGATCCGTCCATTCCAAAGTGGAGCTCCCTCCACATTGAGGCATCAACTTAGGCAGAATCACAACGAATTTAGGAAATGCTCTTTCAGAGTCAGGGGGCAGGTGTGAAGAAGGGATTTCAGTGACAGCTAAATAGACTGCAGTAGGAATAATATAAATCTCTGTAAACTTATGAGTCAAAGATGGGTCACTGGGATTTGGGAATGGATTAAGTGATTCCCAACTCCAAGCAGAGTCCCCAGCAATGGAGCAGACCTTTTCCTGTAACACAGTCATGCTATTAAAATGACTTGTCTCCATTCCAGAGCCCTGACTAAGCGGAGTTGGCCCAGCAGCCCTGTCGCAAGAAGCCAAATAGCAAACCTGGCACCCCCTGCATGTTTTCTCCAGCCTACCCCACCGTGGGGCACTTAGGGAGGCGTTGGGGATGGATTCTCTACTTCTTGGTCCTTCCACAACATATGTCCTGCAGGAGTGAGGAGGGGGTGGGGGGACTAAGCAGGGAGAATGCCAGGACACAGTCTTCCTGATCCCCTAAAACAGGACCAGAGCATCACTGTCCACATCAGGGCAGGGAGAACATTGATGCCAAGCTCATCAAATCCTTGGGCTGCATGATCAGCCAGGACCTTTATTATCATCCCCAACCTATAGGAAGCGTTGTCCCAATCCCAGGGGTTTCTCCAAGCCACTGACATTTGGGGTTGAGTAATTCTTGTTATGGTAGACTGTCCTGTCCATTTTTAGGATGTTCAGTGGCAACCTTGGCTTCTATCCACCAGGAGACATTAGCATCTCCTTAGCTATAACAGCCCAAAATGTCTCCAGACACTGCCAGATGCTCTCTGGGGAGGACAGAGGGAAGAAAGGAGGGAGAGGGAGGGAGGGAGGCAGGAAGGGAGGGAGGGAAGAGTGAAGCTGTCCCCACACTGAGAACCACTGCTTTAGATAGAGCTTTCTAAACTTCCAATGGCTTCTGAGTGTGTGACATGAGTCCCAAGACTAGCCCTCTTTTTTTCCATCCTTTCTTCCTTCACCTCACTCCCTCCTTCCTTCCTTCTTTTCACTACAGTAAGAGCTTTGAATATTGATACAAAATTCAAAGCTCCAAGAAAAAGGTGTAGGATACTGAGGCCCAGGGAAGTAATAGATGTACAAGGCTGGTACACATCACTGACAACCCAGGGGAAAACAGCCAGCAACAGCAGGTTCTCAAGATAGGTCCTGTCTCTGGAAACTCGATTTCAGGAAGACCTGCTCCTGCCCAGCCCCTTGTGCCAGCCTCTCTTCTCCAGCAATGTTTAACATCCTCTCTGATATAACAAAGCCACGAATCAGTTCTCCAGCAAACAGACGGCTGGCCCCAGCCCACACGCTGCCTCCCCAGCCTCAGCTTGGTCCCTTCACCACCCTAACTCATCTGCCACTCCCAGCTTCCTGGACCATTCCTGACTGCCCTGGAGGAGCTGTCTCAAATAGATTGTCCCAGTCATCTCTCTAGGTGGACAGAGGGCCAGGGGATGGAGACGCACAGAGACAAGTGGACCCTGAGTCCTGGACCACTAAACTGAACCAGCTGAGAGCAAATAAATATCAAAGCAATGGCTCAGAGCTGGAGGAGATGGTGGGCTAGGAAATGGTGCGCAGAACGTCCTACAGAGGACAGAGCTAAAGGAGCTAGGGCTGAATGGGAGATTCAGCAGGGGCATGAATGGGAGACAGGGAGCCCGGCAGATTGCAAATTTCTACCTGCATTCCTGCCCATACAGCTTTCTTGGGACAGTCCACACAACCCTTGGAGAGGGATGAAGAGGTGGACCCTCTTCCCTGAAGGCCTGGCCCTCAGCAGCCCCAGCTCATCAAGCCCAGCTGGAGAAGCCAGAGGTCTCAACCTTTCCCAGCTTGGATGACGAAATAAGGGACAAAGGCATCACCAAGAATTTCTGCTTTGCACTCTTCTAAAAGGGGTTTGTCAGAGCCCAAAAGTGTCACACTAATCCTCTTAAAGGAAGAATCCAGCCCCTCTGGGCCCTGCTCCCACTCCTCCCCACAACTCTTCACTCCTCCCCATAACTCCTTTGGTCTTAACCACACATACAGCACTCCCCCACCCCAACCTAACTGGTAAAACCAGTTAGGAAAGGGGTGTGTGTATGCGCATAGGCACTGAGAATTTCTCCAAACACAGTCCTAAGCTTCCTGGACCACACCCATCACTAGGGTCCTGGGTCTGCAGCTTCCCTCCCCAACCTCCTCTGGTTCCAACCAGCTGTTTCTCCTGGTTCTCAGCCTTTTTCCCTCTCTCACACAGGACAGAAAGGGCCAGGCTAAGAGCCCAGCTCCCCAGCAACAGATCAGATTGGGGCCTCTAAGGGGCCGGCTGTTGCCCACCCTCCAAGACTTGACACCATTTCTCGACAGCCCCGGCACCTTCCCTGGGCTGCACCTCTTGGCTGTTTTGTTTCCCACTGCAACCTCCATCCCAGTGGGTGTCCTCTGCTCCTTACTGTTTCCCAGCCTGGGGGCAAATAAGGGAAGCAACCAGAGACAGTGGAGGCTCAAAAGGCTTTTGCAGTCCAGGCTGACTGGCCTGGTCCCCAGCTTACATCCCACTGAAGTTCTTGGAAACACTCCCTCAGCCCAGGCTAGCTGATGGGAGTGGGAATCTGCAGGAATGCAGCTCAGGCGCCGAGGCCACTCCACATAACTCCTTAACAAGCTGCTTCCTTGGGTGCATTTTAAGTGTCAGGCTCAGAATGCAAACAAGGCCTTGTAGAATAGCAGCATCTTCCAGGGGCAGATGTCAGATGGGACAGGCGAGAAATAGCAGCCCCAGGAAGCAGCAAGGCAGTAACTTTCTTTCCGAACTCCTTTTCTGCAAGTTAGCAGGGTAAACCTCGGTATTTTGGGAGTACCCCACCCCAGCTCCTCAGGAATGATGCCTAGCGTAGGCAGGAGGCCAGCAAACTCCCCACAACCCCCATTAGAGTCCACTGCTCACAGAGAGACACGTTTGTCTTGGGGCCAACTGGCCCTCCACCTCTGACAGACAGGACTCCAGTCCAATCACCAGGACCCAAGATGGAGATGAGCACTAGGCTCTCTGCCTCCCAACAGCTCCATCCCTGCATGCCTGCAGGAGCCTGATCCAGCAGGGTCAGAGTCATCCTTCACCCCACAGAGCACAGGCTGGGCCCAGACCAGACAGATGGCTCCCAGGAAGTCCAAGCCACTGATCAGTCCGGGGCAAGATGGGAAACTGCCATTCTGAGTTCAGCAATAAGACACCCCCTGAAGCCTTGTGGGGAGCTCCAAACTCTCGGGCCTGTCCCCAGGGAATGAAAAAGAAACCCACCAGAATCTAACAGAAAGGGACTATTTTCCTCTGTATTTCCCTCTGGCCTCCCTAGTCAGGTCCCAGAAATTCAGATTGGGCTGCTGTGGGGACATAAAAAAGGAAAACATGCACAGGGCACTGTCCTAACTGCAGACTCCGGAAACCACCCCCACCACCCCACGAGGCCAAAGCAAAACCTAAACATCCGATGTAGTGTATTCCCAAACTGGTGCTTGGGTCGCTCCCCTCCCTTTCTCCCGCATCCTCTCCCTCTCTACTTTCCTTGTCCTTTAGGTGTTCCAAAGATCCAGAAGCCAGGTGAGCAGCTACCTCTACCTTTTGCCCACACAGCGCTGACCCCTAGCTGTACTAAGCCACCCAAGAAACAGCCAAGCTGCTCCCATATTTTTTTAACTCCTCATGCAACACCCAGAGTGGAAGAGAGTCCTCCCTAATGAGTGGGGAGGCCACTCTGTTGCCCCACCCACTCCCTACCTCCTGTTACAGGGTACATTCTCATTCACTCTAGTTTGGCAGAAACTGTACTGTGTCAGTTTGCTGCCTAGGACACTGGGAGCACCCAGTGTGGCTGCTGCTGTGAGCAGAGAGGACTGTGGTTTTCTGATGTCCCTTGACTATGCTGGGTGCTGGCAAGCCTGTGGTCCTCCCATTCTCTATTCTCTGAGAAGGATTTCCTGTGGGATACGTTCTTGGATCATCTGAATTGAAACAATTTGAGAAAGGGACAGCTTCAACCATTTCTCTCTGTCCAAATTTCCACCATCCAGGGCTCTGTTCAGGATTTTTTGGGGCAATGTTTGGGGGGCAGAATTTTGGAAGAACTCAGCTGGCCAACAGAGCTGTTCCCCAGGCCTTCTCAGGTCAGGTTTGAGAGAAGGGAAAGAGGAGGGCAAGTGTGTCTAGGCCTCTGCCTACTCACTCATTCGGGAGGACTTTCTTCCACTCCAGGATGTTGGTATTGCACAAGGAGGTGAGAAATACAGGAGCAGCACTGGCTGCCACTTGGGTGGCTGAGTAGAACTGGGGTATGGGCTGGAGTTGGGGCATCTTCCTTAACTGCCCACCTGGCTTCTGGATCTTTGGTTCTGATGCCCCTAGCTCTTGACCTCTGCTCTGGGTCGCCTGTGGGTACAAAGCTGTCTTTTCCCCAGGGATAAGGGAAAGGGCCTCCCTCCCCAAACTCTTTTGCTGTTCTAGGGACCTCACTCCTACAGTCTTCCAGCTGTGACCCAGTTTTGCGTGACTACATACTATACACTCTGTTCCTGGGAAAGCAGTGTCCCTGCGGGTCCCGGCATGGCTGCTGTCTCCCCAGAAACGCTGGCCCAGCAAGTGGCGAGGAAACAGCTATGAAACCGATGGCTCAGATCAAATGAGGGAACAGATGGCCCTCTCTTCATAAGACTCCAGGCTTCTGAGCCAGCCGGGCGCGGTGGCTCACGCCTGTAATCCCAGCACTTTGGGAGCCCGAGGCGGGTGGATCACGAGGTCAGGAGATCGAGACCATCCTGGCTAATACGGTGAAACCCTGTCTCTACTAAAAAATACGAAAAACTAGCCGGGCGAGGTGGCGGGCACCTGTAGTCCCAGCTGCTG